TTGTAATGAACGACATCGAGCGGCCGCGAGCGAGACGCGAATGATTCGTCGAGGTGCATGAATTATTTTACTGCATCACGTCTACGCGAGTCTGTGGAAGATGATGATGAGAATGGCCACGGTCAAGACGCCGGCGACGCCGTAAAAGTACACCTTGTTCGCCGTCGCGCGTCGACTCATGCTACTGAGAATCTTCCTCGACCGCGCGATGGTGTCGTCGGCGCCGTGCAGCGCCTCACGGCTTCGTTGAATTGTTTCGCGTTGTCCCTGTAAATCTTGCAGGATGCTCACGCCCAAATCCTCCGTCTCCGCGAGCGAGCGCTGACTCTCCCGAATCCGCTCCCCCGTCCGCGCCAGGCGCTCCGTCGTCTCCATCTCCCGTTCCCCGTTCGCCGTCCCGTCCTCCATCGAGCCCACTCCTCCGAGCCCACGTTCGGCCGCCCCCAACAGCGCATCCCTGGCGTCTTCCGCTCCCTCGCCCGCGCTCGCCTCTCGCGCCTCGCGCTTTCGCGTCGCCAGCTCGCTCTTATAATCCCGCAGCTTGCTCAACATCGTCGTCTTCGCGCTCGCGTCACCGACCGATCGCGCCTCGAGATCCATGCGACGAATCAACGCCTCGCACTCCGCGACGGCGCTCTCGATCTCGCTCGCGCGCGCGCGGCGCTCGCTCGGCGTCGTCGCGTCGCGCGCGCCGTCCACGCCTCGACGAATCGCCGATGAAAACGCACAAAACTCCCGCTCGTGGCTCTCAAGATGACGGACATCGCGCGCGCGGTCGTCGCCGTCCCGAACGCGGGCGACGCGCGCGCGCGGCGTCGGCGTCGCGCCCTCGCGCGCGTGGGACGATGCGATGGGATCTCGGGCGTGGAGTCCCTCGTGTGACGAGTCATGACTGGTCGAACGGCATCATTCGACGACGCGCGCGCTGGGCCCGTCGACGCGCGCGCGCGCATGCGCGCCCTCTTCTCGAGCGACGCGCGCGCGGGCGAGCGACGGGGCTCGCGCGCGGGCGCGCCGAACGCGGGATGGGTGCGGGATTTCACGTGATTCCGGACGCGGGTGTGGTGTACGCGTCGACCAAGGTCGAGATACACGGGTCAGGGTACGCGCAGGCGTATCTACCGCCGTTAGGGTGTAGGTTCGGCGAGGTGGTCGTGGACAAAGATGCGAGCTCGAGCACGTCAGAGAAGATTGAGTGTCCAAACGTGACGAGCGCCCTTGCGGGCTTCGTCGCGGTGGGAATAGCGCAGTATACGAACAGAAGATACGTTCCCGGCGCGGACGATGTCGTGGTCTCGAAATCACTAGACGTCTCCTTCGAGTTTGTGAAGCCGTGGAAGTTGACGTGGGTAAATCCGGAATACGTGTACAAGAGCGGCGGCGAGACTCTGCGACTCACAGGACAGCATTTCCGCCCCGGGATGCAGTGTACGTTCGTGGAATCATCTCTTACCTCAGGGTTTAGATTTGTGTCGTCCGCCCTGGCGACGTGCGAGACGCGCGCATCGAGCGAGAGCACGGGCACGGTGGACCTTAGTCTCACGCCGGCGCATGCCGTTGGTGGCACCACAGCCGGTGTTGATTATCAAGTTGCACCCATAATCGACGGTCCGGTGGAGTCCACCTCGGCGATTGGGAGCGATGTCACGATTCAGGCCTCGAATTTGGCGTCCTTTAACGGCGCAAGCGCATCATTCACAGCGAGTCCGGTGCGGATTGGATGTTGGTTTAATGGTATTTGGGTTGAAGCAACGCTCGTGAGTACTCGAGCGCTGAAGTGCACGACACCCAACGTCGTCAAGGGTGATGTATCACTGAGCGTCATGGATATGTATTCTCAGAGAATGTTCCCTACGAACTCGTCGCAGACGGGATGGTTCACGACATTCTCTGTCTTAGAGGGTGAAACCATTGACCACATTATTCCTGAGATCGGGAGCGCTATGCGAAGTTCGCCAGCTGATTCTTCAACCCTCATAGAATTTTATGGAGACGCTTTAATAGCTGGCTCTCGATCGATTGCGGCACGAATATGCAAGACGTTGAACCCAGAGACGCTCCCTGTGTTACTGCCTGTGTTGGTAACGGGTCAAAGCAAGAGTAAGTGTGACTTCCCCACGGAGCCTAGCGAGACAGTTGCGCTCGAAACATTGACATATGGCTTCCATGCAGTACTGCAGGGTGTGGTACGGCACCCCGGGGCGCAGTTCCAAGTCGTATCTCCGCCCCAAGTGACGTCAGTGGTACCAGGATTCCTTAGAGAGGCGACGATTGCGACGTTTTCTGGACAGAACTTGAAGAATGAATGGTCACCGACAAAGTGCACTTTCGATGGAACATCTTCTGATGCGTACGTTATTTCGAGTGCTCTCTTGCGATGTATCATACCTCTTTATGACGATCTCCCCTTGGGATCTTCAACTTCGGCGCACACAATTGTTTTGGGGGTGACTTTTAACGTGCTGACGAGCGCGGCGGGAGTGTCGTCAATCGCGTGGGTGCCGATCGCAAGCAATTTGGCTAGCATCACACCAAGTGTGGGGGCAACCAGTGGAGGTACTAGGACCGTCTTAAAACTGAGTGGAGAAACTATTCCGACCGCCTCGTACTATACACCGTCCTGTAGATTTGGAACCATAGTGACTTCAGCGATACATGTGCCGGGAGGCGGGGTGGCTTGCACTTCACCTGCCCATGTTTCGCAGAACGTTACTGTTGGGATTGACGAGGAGTCGGCGGTGGAGTTTCAATATGTCCCTGATATTGTCGTGACCTCTGTCAGTCCTCCGGCGCTTCCACAAACCGGTGGATACCTCAGTGTTTATCTGGAATCAGCTCTGAACTATTCGTATTCCGCAGAATGTGTCTTTGTGACGAGTGGTGGAGACAAGGTGAAGACTTCTCTTGCCGTAGATGCCAACGACGGAGTGCTCAAGTGCGAAGCACCTGAAACCGGCATCGGATTCGCCACCATGGCAGTTGTCTTTGCAACGACGAGTATGAATAACACAGCGTTCATTGATGAAGCTGCAGGTAACTACGTGGAGATTGAAGTGCGAGTTGCAACGCCGTCTGTAGACGTTTTCCTTCCAACCGGGGCGAACTGGGTTTATGCCGAGGACGTGATCCATGTGACGACGTCCGACGGCTCTCTGCTCGGTGGAAGCGCGGAATTCGGGGGTTATTTATGTTCTTTTATTCGAGCCGCGCAGAGCGGTGGATCGGTATATGTTTCCACAGCGACGAAGTTGTCAGCTGCGATGCTTAAGTGCGAGGTACCCGATATGGACACGTTGGTGCCGGCAGCAGAAAGTGGCTTCGAGGTTTTGGTAAGTATTTGTACGGAAAATGAGTTTCTCGTGGGTCAGTGTACCAGTCTAGCGGGCACGCGCTTGAGGTACGAAAAGAAGATGAATGTCACGTCAATATCACCAGTCAACGGTACGGAGGCAGGGGGCGATCTTGTGGTGTTGGTTGATTCCGCGACCATAAAGGGTTTCGGCGCAAACGTGCCAAGTTGCAGGTTTGGTACCATCTACCCCGTCTCGGCGAGTGGTGTCGTAGGGGTGTCTGCAGCAGGTGAGCTACAGTGTACGACTCCGGCTCACGTTGCTGGGATTGTTCCTGTGAGTGTGCCTCCGCTTGGCATCGGATTTGCAGCGCTCACATTCACGTACACGACCGTGGGAACTACGCAGTCAGACGTGAAGGAGACGATGGGTAACGATCCTTACGTGAGTGCATCTCTTACGCCACCAAACCCGATGATCACAGAGGTCTCGCCGTGGGTCGGTTGGAGTGGAACCGTCATCACATTGACCGGGACGCATTTACCGATTGGCCCAGACGTCAAGTGCAAGTTTGGAGCAGTTTCAGTGGATGCTCAGGTGGTCTCGACGGCGCTGATTCGTTGCGGTACTATAGTTCCAGTCACTGATTATGAGGTCGAAGAGCAATTAGTGGCGGTGACGACGAGCACCGGCGATGATAATCCAAATGTGACGGCTATATCGCACTACGTAACCACTCGTGGAGATATTTTGGAGGCTGACGCGACAGACGGATGGCAACAAGGTGGTAACACTGTTCACGTGAGCATCGCAAAATGGGTCCCCGAAGGTTATACAACGTGTTTATTTGGCACAATATCAGTGCAAAGTCGAGGAGGGGACGGATACGGGGCGATTGGCAAGGCCTCTCTTTCTCGTTTGTCGCAGTGGTGGAGCGACTCGACCGACGGCACAGAAATTGAATGCGTTTCTCCAGCACAGGGTCCGGGGACTGTGGAGTTCGGGGTGTCGATTTCAGGATCAACGATCAAGTCATACAACGGAACGACTTTCACGTACATTTAGGCTACAGCAAGTAATTGATATTAGAATCTAGTCGAATTCGCTTCTGCAAACGGCGCGCGCCTCCAAACTGAATCTTGGCAAGGATGCGAACATTTATATTGCGCTCGTACTCGAGCATTTTCCCATTTGATAACGAAGTTGTCATCACTCAGAACGTTATACGCATCATTGATCAGGTTGAAGAGTCTACTTGACACAGCTGCACGCGCATTGATGAGACTTTCGGATGAACCGCCTCGAACCACCTTGTCTGGATGATGACTAAGTGCGAGCTGTCTATACTTCTTTTTCAGCTCATCTTTCGACGGCTTGGCGCCGACACCGAGTAATTTGCGCCAATTGGCGGGCAATTCAGCTTTTACTCGATCTCTGATCGTGACCAAATAGGTGTGCACCTTCTCTCGCTCATCGTGGGATAAATCCATGTCAAGTAAACATTCATAGATCTGCTGCGCTTCATTGACCATATCGAGCTCCGTGTAAATCGCCGCTAAGCGCGCATGCGCTTTTGCATACTTCGGAGCCAAGGCACACGCCGCACCTGCTGAAGCCAAGGCGTTGATATAATCTTCCATGGCATGCGCGCACGCGCAAATGTTGGACAAGAAGAGCGCTTGAAGCAGATCTGAATCTTTGCACAGCTTCAGAGCGTCGAAGTAAAGCGATTCAGCCTGTGCATAATCTCCACGAATGTAAGCCACTTTTCCTGCGTCTTTCAGTTCGCTTATTTGAGAGACTTGCTCCAATATTTGAAGCAACGATGCTGGGTTTGGAATTTGCTTGATCACTTCTTCAGGTGGTTGCGACCCATCCAGTGCTATCAAATGTGACGCCTCCCTTCCAGCATAAAGTTCGAGCGCTGGGATCAGTGGTTGCAAACTTTCCAAGCAATCAGAGACGTTAGCTAAATCGAATGCAATCCTCGCTCTCACGCACAGCCCACGGACATCCAAATCGCCAAGGCGACAAACAAGTTGCGATGCAGCGTAAGTGTCTCGCTTGAGCCTCAGAGCTTCGGCTCTGAGAGTCTTGACTATTGCTGCATGTGGGCAAATTACGCTCACTTCATCAAGCGCACGCAAAGTACGTTCTAAATCGTCGACACTCTCCTCATGACCAGTCTCTTCCATCTTGACGAGCAGCTTGCTGTGAGTGTCAATCAACTGTTGTGTCGACTGCACATCATCAATAACCTGCTTTGCTTCAGACTTTTGCTCCGATGTAGACGCGTCTTTGTTAAAAACCTCGCGAGCTTCCGTGCAGGCCTCTTCAAATTGTCCGAGTAGCAGCAAACATCGTGAAAGTCGAACCTGCGCCTTGATGTGCAATGGATCGAGCGCCAAAGTCTCGTGACAGTCCTCCATCGCTTGAAGAGGATTGCCTAGCATCATCAGTGCAGCTGCTCTGTTCGTGAGCAGGCCCACCTTGACTTTGATCGAATCTGATAGATGCATTGCGTCTAAATAATCGAGCGCGCTTGAATAAGAGTCCCTTGCTCCAACATAATCCTTATTCCTATATGACTCGTTCCCAGATACCTTGTGCTGTTCCACAAATGCTCGGTTCAGCGCGCTCTTCTGGGCCAGAGCCTCCTTTAATTCCGACGGCTGGGCGTTCGGCGAAAGTGACACGAATTCTAAGTATCGCTGCGCACGCTGAAGCTCGCTGAGATTCAGACAACACTGCGCGGCGCGCAAGAGTGCTCGAATATGCCCAGAGTCAACTTTGAGCACGAGTTCGCACTCCGCGAGCGCCTCGTGGACGTGACCTAGCATGAACAACACCGTCGCCCGATTCACTCGCAACCAAAGATGCGACGGTTCGACTAAAACTATTCCACTCACCTCGAGCTCTGCGATGGCGTGCGAATAAAACTGCTCTGCCTCGCTCATATTCCCGCGCTTGAACGACGCGTCGGCTTCGCGGCGATGTTCCTCAGCGCGCACCACCGCGGCCGCCTGCGCAGCCGCCATCTGCTCCGCCCTAGATTCTCGCTCTCTTCTATCAAGCTCCTCGTATACGAGTTCTTGCTCTCTCTCGAATTCTTCGCTCGCCTCTTCAAACTCGAGCTCGTACATTTTATGAATGTTCACCGCCTCCTCGAGCGCGCGCCGGGCGAGCTCAACCTGCTCAAAGCTCTTCGCCAGTTTGAGTTCAACGTCCACCTTTCTCAGCTCCGCCCTTCGCAATCGAACCTCCATCCCCGCGTCGACGCGAACTCTGAAATTACCCTTTGTCGTCGACGCGTTCCCTCGGTCAACGCCCCTCTGACTCGCTCCGCGCGCGCGCGCGTTCTCGCTCCTCGAGCTCACCTCTTCCTCCCACGACGACACCGACGACGCGCTCGCTCGTCGACGCGCAGTATTTAAATCTTTCTCATCGTATCTCGTCCTCGTCGACCCCTCACCATCGTCTGCATCGCTTTCGCTCGACCCATCGCTCTCGCTCAATCGCACGCGCGACAGGTGACTTTGAATCTCTCGTTGAATTTCTCGCAGCGCGCTCGCTCGGTGCGACATCCGCCGCTCTCCCGCGCTCGGTCGACGACGACGCACGCCGCGCGTCGAACGCTCGCCGCACCGAGACCCCAAGCGCGTGGTGACGTGTGCGCGGCCTCGACGAATGAATCTCCACCCATCGAGTCATCGCCCATGGCGAATCGTCCACGACGAATCGACCGAGGCCGAGGACGAACGCCCACGACGCGCGTGGGCACACCGCGCCGCGGAGGGTGACGCGCGTCGCGACGCGTGCGTAGACGCGTGCGCGTGGGAGCGAGAGACGATCTCGACCGCGCGATCCTTCGAGCGCGACATGGGGAAGACGACGACGCGGACGAGGCGGACGACGAGCGAGGTGGCGGCTGCGGAGGAGTACGACCACAGGGAGTCCGACGACGAGGAAGATGAGGATGAAGAAGACCTGGACGGCGAGAGCGATGATGAGGACGTGATTACGGTGAGCGAGCGACGCGTGAGGCGAAGGAGGAGAAGGGGGGTGAGGAGGACGGTGAAGGGATCGGCGGAGACGCCCCGCGAGAGAAACGTCGACTGACCGCGCGCGCGTCTCTCACGTAGGTAAACTTTGACTTTTGCGACGCGCAAGAGGAAGATTTTCACGGATTAAAGGCGCTCTTGACCGGTTACTGCGACGGCGATGAGTACGCGTGCTCGGACCTGTGCGACTTGCTCATCAGACAAAACGCCGTCGGCACCGTCATGAAGACAGAGGATGACTCAGAAAACGTCCTGGGCATGACCTCGGTGGTGAGCCTGGCGTATTACAAGGGAGAAAAGTGCGTGAAAGATATCAAGAAATACCTCTTGGGTAAGGTCCCTGCAAAAGAGAAGAAAGCATTCGAAAAGATTTTGAATGACGACGCCACCGGTTTGCTCATAAACGAGCGCATCATCAACGTGCCGCAGGATGCTGGACAGCCTTTAATCGAGGGCGTTTTTGACGAAATCGGTTGGGCAGCAAAGGACGAGAAGACGGCTGAGTTGAGAAAGTCGTATGAGTTTAAAAACTACATTTTGGTGAGCACTTTGTTTGAGGAGGACACTGAGGATGTAGAGCAAGTTGGGAAGAAGCGCAAGAAGGGACAACCAAAAAAACAGCGAATCTTCCCGCGATTGGAGGAGGAGATCTTGCTCGAACACTCTAAATCGGCGTTTTTCTGGCGCGGTAAACAGAACGAGGAGAATGACATCGCTGATTTCCGCCCTCATCGTTGCTGCATGGTTGTCGACGCGAAGGCGATTAGCGCTTTCCGCAAAGACGTGAAAGATCTGTTCAAAGACTTCGAATAAAACGTGTAGTAGATTCTCCTAGACATTTTTCTATTCCATACACGATTTTCGGCTATCCCAATCCGTATGCCTTCTTCGTCCTGGCCTCCACCCGCGCGCGAGCAGCTTCGCGGCGCTTGAGAGCTTCTGCTTCATCCTTTGCAAGCTTTGCATTCTTCGTACTCATCGCCGTTGCAGGACGCTTCTTACTCGCATCAGCGCCCGACAACGATGTGTTATAATCTTCTATGAGTTGTGCTTTAAAACTCCGACCACCAGTCGCAGCGAACGCACGTGCAGCTCCGGTTTGTGTCTTCGCCTTAGCCGCCTCAAATTTGGGATGGTTTGCGCCAAAACCCAGGTTGAACATGCTAGTTGTGGTCGTTCGGTTCACACTCGGCTCTTCAGAATTATTCGGCACCGTGGAAGTAGCAGATACCATCGACGACGTGCGCGCTGCGGGTCTCTGGTTAAGTGCCATGGCTGCTGCAATTGCCTGTTGTGCCGTTGGCTTTGGATTATCTTGCTTCTCCGACGATGCTGCAGGCGCCACGACGCCTCGAGCGTACGGGTTGAGAGCGTACTGACCACTCGGTTGTGCTACCGTTGCAGCTTCGGAGGGGGGCGGCGGTGCACTTTCGGGAGCACCTTTTGACCACGCCTTGGTCGTGTTGTTGAAGTACATCTTTGTCTTTGGATCAAAGTAACATGACGACTTTGCATGCCAGTAATACTTGGACCGATCGTCAAACTTCCAGGCTCCCAGGACTTGCGCCGCGCGGTACTCTTCTTCCTCGCGCGCGTGCATCTCTCGCTCGAGTGCCGTCTCCAACTCCTTCTTCGCGTTTGTCTCCTGCTCTTTCAAGCGAGCCGCCGCCGTGACTGGCTTTGCCTGCAGAGCTGCCGCTTCCGATAGTCTGCCCGCCGCGACGAGATCCGCGGCGTACGCCTCCGTCGCCTTTGCCTCGATCTCTGCCATATCTTTCTTCAATTTATCGCTCTCCTTCTTCTCGTTAACCTCCTTCTGTCTGATATCTTTTAGCTTTTGCTCGACATTCTTCTTGTGCTTCTCGCTTCGCTCGTGCATGCGCTTGGCGTTCCCGTGCGGCTGCACGAAGCACTTACACAACGCGCACCAGTCCGCGCGCGAGGCGGAGAAGTACTCGCTCGCCATCTTTGAGCACCACGCGCGACGCGCGACGAATGACGTGGGAGACGTTTGTTTCCAGCCGCCCACTGATTTCCGGCCGGTTTCGAGAGGCGAAGCCGGCACATTCAAGCGCGAGGTCAAATTCGTGATCTCGGCAACGACCAGATCGAATCGCACGCCGAGGCGTGGGGTCGACTCACGAAAAGTCTCAGTACCCTGTCGAGCGTTCGAACGTGCTGGCTGTTGCGAAGCGCGCGTTGAACGTCGTCATGAGAGGCACTGTTATCGCTCGTGACATTCAGCTCCCGGACGTGGCGTCGGGACGACGACGACTTCGCCCTCGCGAGGTCACGTGCGGGAACGGGATCCGCCGAGGCATCATCGTCAGCCTGTTCAACAGAAGCAAGGCGAACAAGGTACGATCGGCTGGATGGGCGAACGCCGAAGACGTAACTAACAGTTATCTCCCTGTGCGCAGGAACCTGACTGGACAGCCATGGAGGGAGAGAAGAGGACAGTGTCAGACGAAATCGGACGTCGACAGTTCGCGAACCGCCGAGCGAATAACGGAAAGGATCGGAAAGATTTGTATACGGAAAATTGGGACGGGTGCGTGTCGATTCGCTCTTCTCACATCTGCGCACACAAAACAATGCGCTCAAGACTGACAAATAAATAAATTTTTGTTTTCCCAGGAGTGAGTACAAGGGCGGTTCGTTCAATATTTTGAGTTTGGTGGCGGCGCTCTTTGTGCTCGTACCTGTGGCCCTGCTTATTTTTGCGTACACGTCCTACGGTACGCTTTGGGGCTAGCGGAATTTCGAGTGTTGAACGCTGTATAAATACAAATTTATTTATTAATTGCATCGCGAACAATGTGGAACGTCCCGACTCAAATCGTGCGTTACGGTGACCCAACTCGCCGAGATCATTACCAACGACGCCCAGTGCGACATTTGGATCAAAGTAGCACGCATCCGAGACACCAGAGTACTGCGTGTCGCTCGGACTACGAACCCGAGCTAAAATTAAATGGAATTAATTCACTTGCGCTCGTCATGACTTTTCACTGACATGAACTGCAATGCGCGCGCGTGGTAGTGATACAAATAGATGGTTTGAAAACTTACATCCTTCACTCCATGAGAAGCCCAGAATTGTGCACGTGATCTTGGATTTTTATTTCGATGCTCCAATTAATTAAATAATTTCAGTTTGTTCAATCAAAGATGGAGATTTGCATGAGCGCATTACCGATCGGCACTCGTACGATTGCGATCATGCGTGGTGATATGGTACGTTGACGGCCTCAGAGCACTTTAGAGAGCTCAAAACGTTACTTGAGAACATCAAACGACTCTGACGTGTTAATAAATTGTTCCGAGCAATTAATTTCTCAAACGTGAGCAGTTCGCTTCAGATGGATTTGTAGACGGTAATCGCATGTCAGACGCATTTGGTATACAATAACGCTGATACACTCTCATTTTCACGACGATATTCGCCCATATGGCGTAGTCAGAGCGTCTCCATGAACGCTGAATATTTTAAATATAAATAAATGGCTCGAGCCGTCGATGAATCCAGCGAACCGACTAAGGCGTTTATTAGGGCCCGTCCCCCGTCGTGCGGCGGCGCATTGATTTATGTCCAGCGTCTGTGCCCGTTTTCAGTCGAACCCATCAACGTTGGTCGACTCCCCTAAAAGCTGGTTGTTGACGATCATGCCAAGTGCTGACGAGAGCCGGCAACTGTGACTGAAGAAAACTGTTCGCCGTCGACAGAGTCCGCCTCGCGCGCGACGAACTACGTTTGAAGGTGATCGGCGACAGAAACCGTTAGAATCGCATGCTCACGTGCGCCCGAAGCGTGTAAATCCGATCCCGTCTGTCTGCGACGTCACTCGTTTCGACGACTTGATTTTCGCGCCATTTTGGAATCGTGTCTAGATGTTCGCATCGCCGCTTCTAGACGTCGCGATGCTATCCAAGAGGGCGGTGGTGTCCGTTAATCGTGGATCGACCGCTGGCACCCGGCGTGTGACCGCGTTGCGGCCGCTGCGTGCGTCCGCTCACAGTGACAAGTCTCCGGCGGCATCTTCCGGCGCGGACAAGCACAGGAGATTCAATCCGGTGTTCACCTACCGTCCTAACCGGAGGCAGCGTGCTATTATGGACGTCACGGAGATTGATTCAGCTGAGGAACTCGATAAAGCGTCTCGCCAGAAGCCCGGAATTGACAAGATTAAGTGGGCGAAGAGGCTTCAGGAGTTGGCTAGCTTCTACGAGAACAAAGGACACTCGACGCCACCGTCCGGGACGTCTCTATCTAACTGGGTGAAAAAGATGCGGACGATGCGACGACGAAACGAGCTCTCGCAGGATATGATTCTGGCACTGAACGCTCTAGACTTGGACTGGGAGCCATCACAAACCCGCGCGTTCAAGCGCTTGGAGGAGCTGCAGGCATTCAAACAGAGAGAAGGTCACATTCAAGTGCCGACTGGCTGTTCGCTCGAACGATGGCTCCGTCGCATGAGACTGCTCAAGCGAAACGGTAAACTGGAACGCCATGTTTCAATTGGACTAGAGAAGCTCGGAGTGGTGTGGGAACCGGCGACTGCGAAGCAAATTGAGACCGACACAATCTTTGTAACTCGACTGAGCGAGCTCAAGGCCATCGTCGCCGCAGACGGAAGAGTGAGGAAGACGAATCAGTACGATCCGGGCATGCGTACCTGGTTAGTTTATCAGCAGCGATGTTTCCGTGAAGGAAAACTGAGCAAAGGTAAAATTCAGGCGTTGAGAGACGTCGGTATACCGCTCAAGATGACGCAACGCGTCTCGTGGGACGCACGCTTGATGGAACTCATCGAGTTCAAGCGCATTCACGGTCACTGCAACGTACCCGCAACGTGGCGCCATAACAAAGAATTAGGATCATGGGTCGGGACTCAGCGTAAGTATAAGCGTGGGTCTAAGTTATCCGAAGAGCGCATTGCCGCACTCACATCTATCGGATTTGAGTGGGAACCGAAAACGGCGCTTGCGCGAGGCACTCACACAAAGGCTTCGCCGTGGACCATCAAAGCCAACTCGTTGAGACGAGGAGATAGGCCGCAAGTGCAAATCGACTGGATCGGTGGTGACGATAAGAGACCTCCGAGCATCGAGACCTTCGAATGGGGCAGAGCGTCCGCGAACTACGAGGAGAAGCAGCAACTGGTGTTCAGCGAAATTGAGAAGTGGTGGCAAGAGGACGCGTCGGAAACATCTCGAAGGAGCATTAGAGGGATGCGTTTGAATCATCGACTCAACGTCGGTAAGAAAATTAACTTTAAACCAGATATTTTACTGGAGATTTCCTCCGCAACTCCTGAAGAAGGCGCACTCACGTGGGGACTCATCGTCGAGGTTGATGAGTTTGGTCACAGACGAGGAAGCAGAAGCTACGTTAACGAGGAGTCAAGGATGGCTGATCTTCAGAACGCTCTCGGGGTGCCAATCAAATTCGTGCGGTTCAATCCAGATCCGACCGAAGAAGACAGCCGCGAGCTCGAAGAGCGCACGTTGGAGCTTCTCGAACACTTGGAAAAAGCAGTCGCGAAACCACCGATACGAGACTTAGAAGTCTCGTACCTCGCGTACGATTAGCAGTTTGTTGTAACTCAACGATTACAATCCGCAAGTATTTTGTTGTTTGATGCAGTATGCGCTTAAGTATTACAGTGACTCATTCTATTACGCTTGCGCTCGTTCACTGGCTGGTAAGTGTACAGTACAGAGTGCCGCGCTTTCCTAGTCGAAGCATGCCGCAGCGAAAAAGAGGGCCAAGATGCCAAACTCGGACACGATCGTCGACGGCGACGAGATTCCCGCGAACGGGACGATGTCTACGCGCAACCATTCCTGAACAGCACCACCAAAAAGAGAGCCAACGAGTAGGAAGCCGAAAGCCAGCGCGGCGGATCGACCGAGAGACACTCGTTTCTTGTTCATGAACCACACTGTGGCGCCGAGCGCTGCGGCTATCTCCAACCCCGTCGGATTATCCATGCCTTGCGGCTGGGCGAATCCTTGTACTAAAGTCACGACTGCGATTACGCCGAAGAGCGCCCCGGTTTGGCTCAGCGACGCTTGCGACGGCGCTGAGAACCGCGGCGCCGGCGGCAGAGCACTCCCCGCTTCCTTCGTCCACGCCGGCATCGCCGCCGCGAGCCTATCGATCGGCGGCACCACGTCCGCGTACTTCACCGTTTTGTCCACCGTATCACCCTTCGTTCGCCTGTTGAACGATTTCATCAGCAGAACGTCGTACGCTCGCTCTACCTCTCCGCACTTGGCTTCGTCCTCCGCGTACTTGTCGAGCATCTCTCGGTGCGCCTTCACGAGCTCGTCGCTCGTCGCGTTCTGCCCCAAACCGAGTATCTCGCTCGCCCGCGCGGCGTCCATGGCGACCTGTGGGTTGTAGTTCTCCCCCGGTGAGCTCCGAGCCCGAACCCGCGATCGCGCGAACGACGAACCGAGAACGAGACCGATGCCCGCTCGACGCCCTCGACCCGATCGCGCGCTCGTCGTCGTCCCCACGCTCGCCCGCGTCGCGGAGATCATCGATCGCGCGAGCATCCCGCGCGGTGCGCTCGAGCTCGACGCTCGATCGCCCCCGTCGTCGAGTGCGACCGATCGACCGTGGCCGTCGACCTCGCGCGCGGCGACGCGGTGGATTGATTTGATTGATTCCACGAGTGATTGTTTCACGTCGACTTTGATTTCATGCACCGATCGAGCACCGATCGAGCACCGATCGAGCACCGGTCGAGCACCGATCGAGCACCGATCGAGCACCGATCGAGCACCGATCGAGCACCGATCGAGCACCGATCGAGCACCGATCGAGCACCGATCGAGCACCGATCGAGCACCGATCGAGCACCGATCGAGCACCGATCGAGCCGGTGCGGGTGCGATGGTGCACACGCTCGATTTCGATTGGCCGAGACGAGACGACCCCGCGGCGCCGACGCCTCGACGACGCGTGGTCCCGACGTCGGGCGCGTCGACGGCACGCGCGCGCGACGGGCGCGCGCGGTCGTCTCGGTCGAGGCCAACGATGTCGCGCGACGCGCGCGGGCGGGCGAGGGGTGAGCGCGGGTGAATCGACACCGAGAGCGATGTCGAGCGCGAACGGCATCGAGAAGCTCGTCAGGCGGGCGTGCGATGGGACGTCACCGAGCGTGGACGAGGACGCGATGCGAGCGATCAAGCGGGCGGCGAAGGCGGACGATAACGCGCTAAAGTGCGCGCACGAGGCGCTGATGCGAGTGATGGCGTCGACGAGGAGCGGGGCGGCGACGCGGGCGCACGCGGTGACGGCGACGAGCGAGCTCTTCACCCGGTCGAGGTTGTTTCGAGAGCTCACGATGGATAAGCTGGAGATCATTATGAAGCACGCGGTGGGAACTGACGACGATTTCCCGCTCCCGGACGTTCCCAAGGGCGAGGCAGATCGCTTGCGTCAACACGCCGTGAGCGTCTTGGACGAGTGGGAGCGCAAGTTTAAGAATCAGTACAAGCAACTGACGCTGGCGCGGAAATTCGTCACCGAACGCCTGGGCGAGGACGCCCCGGAGGTGCGAGCGGAGCGAGCGCGAGTGCTCGCGCTCGAAAAAGAGCGCCAGGTGCAGAGGAACCTACAGAGACAGTGGCTCTCGACGAAGGGTGAACTCCCGGCGTTGCTCCGCGAAGTTCGCGAAACGTTGCACGCCGCGGGAGAGTGCTTCTGCATGCTTTTCGGCGACACGTTCGAGACAAGATTCAATCGTGAAGTCGAGAGGAAGGCGCACGCGCTCGAAGACGACGCGGACGAGACTTGGGAAGATGTGGCGGACGGAGCAGCGGATTGGCGCTTTGCGCAAGAATTTGGCGATGCCGACGAGTCCCCCGAGACGACTTCAACGACTGGCATCGCGCTGAGAGAGACGGATGAAAACGCTCCGATCATCGAGCAACTCCGTGGACTGTACCGCTCGACGAAGGCGCGATATCTCGCCTGTCTCACGGAGGTGCTTCAAATTTTAGGCCACATTCAACCCGAACAGATAACCGACGACGGCGTCGTCGTCATCTCCCAAGATGAGCGTTTGAGCACGGTTAACGTCGTTGGGGATTTAAAGCAGCTTCTCACTTCATTCGTGGGGCGATGTGAGACGCTGAGATTGATACGCAGTCGTGGCGGAGACGAGGGCGCGGACCCAAATGCGAACACGTCAAGCAAACCCGAGCCGTCGGAACCCGTCGACGATGGTGAGTCGCGTCGAGATGCGTCGAATGCGTCGGTCGGTGTCTTACTTGACCGCGCTGCGAAGCGTCAAAAACGGGGTGTCACGCAGTCTCGACGAGTGCGCGAGGCAAAGGCAAAACAAGAAAGCGAACGAGACATCGGACGTCGCGCGCAGCAGATGCTTGCAAGTCAAATTCGAGCTCACAATGACGAAGTTCTCGCGGAAGCCGGGCTTGATTTCTTTGAAATGGAGCGTCGAAAACAAAATACCGCGTCGGAAGCGAAGGCAAACGAGATAATAGAGGAAGAAATTGAACGGCGGGAAGCGCTCGAGGTACGCGGGAAGACGGCGCGTCAGCGAATAGAGAAGAGCTTGAGGCAGCTACGCCGGCAGAAGAATAGGAAAATTTGATAGCACGTAGTTCAATTCTAGTTACGAAACCCTTTAGCTCTGTTTCTCCTTCCCTCCGAGTTTTTTACGACGCTGCGCGAACATGTAGGAGTACAACCCATGGAACAAAAACGGGTACAACACGAGCAACGCGTTGAGAAACGTGGGATAATCGAACGCAAAGTTGTACGCGTTCGGCATTTCGATCGCGTACATTTTCGTTCTTCTCGCGTGCGCTCGCGCGTCGTACATGAGTTTCATCTCCGCCCCCGCACCGAGCGGATACAGCGGCACGAACACCGTGTACCGCGCCCAAGTGAGCGCCTTGGATTCGATCCCCAACAAACCGCACACGTACGCCGGATATCGAATCACCTCCGTGATCGCCCACGCGAACACCAACACCGTCGCGGCGTCGCTCGAGTGATTGCTTCGCACCCCGTCCAGGGCGCACAGCAGGCAGTGCGTCCGTCCCGCCCACTGCATGAGCGCCGCCGCCGCGGGCGTGCGCGTCAATCCAATCAGGGCGTGTAAAACTTCCGCGAAGGATGCGATCTGCACCGTCACCAACGCATCACGCACGACATCATACGTCCACGAGCGCCCTCGCTCGACCGCGCATCGCACCGCGAGCGTCAACACCACCATCCACCCCATCGCTTCCACACCGTTATACCCCACCAAGTACGCCCGTCGCATCTCCATCTCGTCGTCGTCTCAAACGACGCGTCGCCCCCCCCGCCCGGACGTGCGACGCGACCTCCCTTCCGCGCACGCTCCCGATCGATCGCTCGTCCGTCTCTCGGGTCCATCACGCCGTGGATCCCCCCGGCGTCGCCCCTGGCGCGGACGTACTTTCCTGGCGCCCATCGTAAACCCTAGTCACGCGCGCGACATCACCGCCGGGACGCGTGAATGTCTCGCATTTTTCCAAGGTTGGCGTCGGTCGGTGCCGACGTCGAGCGGTCGACGCGCGCGCGCGGGCGACCGCACTCGACGCGCGCGCGCGAACGTCGAGCGACGCGTCGGGGGGACGATCGCGCGCGATGGACGCGGACGCGGCGACGCCGGAGGCGACGACGTCGGAGGCGCGCGCGCGATCGCGAGCGACGGTTGCGGGCGAGGTGGATGGCGGACTCGACGACGACACGTCGTTGTTATCGGCGAGAGAGCGGACGGAGAATAGCTCGAAGAATGACGTCGTGGAGAGAGACGTGAGGTTTAGGATCACCGGGATGACGTGCTCGGCGTGCGTGGGAACGGTGGAGCGAGCGATGATGGACGCGCGGGGCGTCGCGCGCGCGGCGGCGTCGACGGCGACGGGAGAGGCGAGAGCGGTTTTAGATGATGAAGCGAACGAGCGAGAGGTCATAGACGCGATCGTGCGAGAGGTTGAGAGCTGTGGGTTCGAGTGCGAGCCGATGGAGACCGTGAACGAGCGTCGAAGCCGCATAGGGTCCTCGGCGGTGAAGACGGTGAAGCTGGCGGTGGACGGAATGTCGTGCTCGGCGTGCTCTGGGGCGGTTGAAAATGCTCTGAGAGCAGTCGTTGGGGTGTCCTCGGCCACCGTGAGCGTGCTCCCGTACGGTGCCGCGATAGTTGTGTACGATTCGAACGCCACTGGTGCTCGAGACTTCATAGAAGCCGTCGAGGAGATTGGTTTCGGGGCGAGTGTGTATCACTCAGCGGAGGACGACGGGTCGACAACGACGCGCGAGTTGTCAAGGTTTCGCGAGGATTTGAAGTTAGCAATATCACTCACGGCGCCCATTGTACTCATGAATCTCATCGTGGAGCGCATTTGGACTCCGAGACTAGGTAGACTGTCTCTTTGGGTGCTGGTGAAGTTTGCACTCGCGTCGCGAGTGCAGTTTGGCGTCGGCATGCGGTTCCATCGCGGGGCGTGGAACTCCCTTAAACGCGGCGCGAGCAACATGGATGTTCTGGTATCTCTCGGCACCAACGTCGCTTATATCGTGAGCGTGGGCGGCATGCTCTCTTGTCTGAGCTCTGGATCGATGTGCGCCCGCGATTACTTCGACACGAGCGCTCTGTTGATCACTTTCATCTTGATCGGAAAGTACCTCGAAACTTCAGCGCGGGGGAAGACGAGCACGGCGATCACGAAGCTTCTTGAACTCACGCCTAGCGAAACCGTGCTCCTCGTATCAACGAAAACGGGTGAAGAGATCGAGAGGAGAGTCGCCACGGAGTTGATCCAGGTGGGCGATCTGCTGAAGGTGTTGCCAGGCGCGCGCGTCCCGGCTGACGGAGTCATCATTCGTGGCCACGCATACGTCGATGAATCCATGATCACCGGAGAGCCGATGCCGGTCATGAGAAAGATAAATGGAAGAATCACGGGAGGTACGATCAATGAAGGTAACGCTTTCGTCATGCGCGCAGAGCGGCTCGGTGCTGACTCGACTCTTCATCAGATAGTGCGCCTCGTCGAGGATGCGCAGCTCTCAAAGGCACCAATCCAAGCCTTTGCAGATAGGCTCTCGAACGTCTTCGTGCCATTCATCGTCGTTCTCGCGATGGTTACATTCTTCTCCTGGCTTGTTGCCGGTTGGACAAGTTCCATTCCAGCCGGTTGGATACCGGCGGATGAAAACAAAACGTTGTTTGCGATGTGGTTTGGCGTCGCCGTGCTCGTGACGGCGTGCCCTTGTGCTCTTGGATTGGCGACGCCGACGGCGATCATGGTCGGAACGAGCGTTGCTGCGGGGAGTGGCATTTTGGTTAAAGGAGGAGAAGCTATGGAAGTAGCTTCCCGTTTGGACGTCGTCGCCTTCGACAAAACAGGTACCTTGACCACCGGTTCACCGACAGTGGTTGCGTTTAAATCGACTCGGCCGGAAAATCTCGATTACATCATCAGTGTGGTCGTTTCCATCGAGAAGGACAGCGAACATCCAATCGCAAAAGCCGTGAGAGACTATGCTCGACGTCGCAGTCCTACTGAGCTCGCCTTGAGCGCTAAGTCAGAGGTTCAAATTGTCGCCGGCCAAGGTGTGTGCTGTGTCGTGAACGGGATCGCAGTGGCTGTTGGAAACGGTAAACTGATGAGCGAACGCGGTATGAAAGTCGTTTCAAAGGACATTGAAGACTTTACCGTGGAGCATGAAGATTCTGGACACACAGTGGTGCTCGTCGGCATCGGAAACGCCGTGGGTGGAGCGTTCGCGGTATCTGATGAATTGAGACCGGACGCGAAGGACGTTGTGGCGGCGCTAAGAGAGCGAGGCATCAAAAGCGTCATGGTGACGGGAGATAACTGGAAAACCGCGCGTGCGATCGCAAGTGCATGTGGAATTGAGGAGTTTCACGCCGAGGCGTCTCCAGCAGATAAGGTGGCGTTCCTAAAGAAGTTACAAGGGGAATGTTCGCCGAGATCAAAGAATAAATTCGAAGCGTCAAAGGTTGCAATGGTTGGCGACGGCATCAACGACGCCCCTTCGTTAGCTGCGGCAGACTTATCGATGGCGATAGGCGCCGGAACAGACGTCGCCATCGAAGCGGCCGATTTAGTCCTCATGCACGCCGATCTGTACACTGTGGTGCGGGCCGTGGACATCTCCCAAAAGACGTTTCGACAGATCCGGCAAAACTACGTTTGGGCGCTGAGTTACAATGTTATCGCACTCCCCCTGGCGGCTGGTTGTTTATATCCGACAATTAAGGTTCCGCCCTGGGTCGCAAGTATCTTGATGGCTATCAGCAGCATCTCAGTCGTCCTCGCGTCGTTGTCGCTGAAGAGGAAGTGTCGAGAGCAACGGCACACGGTGTTGCGCAGCATTGAGATATCATCGGCAGCTTAGGTAGATTTAGGTATACATACTATAGCATACTGTAGAACACATCGCATTGCATAGACAGACCGCACGATCTACTGCTCGCTCGCCGCCTTCGCCTTAGCCGCGATCTTTGCGCGTTGCGCCTTCGTTTTCTTCGGTGTCTTCAAATCAAGCAAACCGCCTGGTGGCGTGATCTCCATTAACCTGTTCTTCGCGTCGACGAGCGGTACGATGTCTTTGACGAAAGGCACGTAGACGTAAAACTCGGTATCGATCTCGAATTCCTCGTCGAACGCGCTGAATCCAACCTTCAGTAAGTCCTGCGTTCCGGCACCTCGGACGACGTCCTCCACGACACCCACTTCCGACCCCGATTCCCTGTCAATCACCCGCATCCCCTGAAGCTCCTGGGCGTAGAACTCATCGTCTCCGTCTCCACTTGTCTGTCCCGCTTCGTCTCGCAGGGGCGCTCGATCGCTCGGCGATACGAAGAGTCGCGTTCCCACTAGCGCCTCCGCCGACGTCCTGTCGTCGACACCGCTCAGCTTTACGATCACATCGTTCCGTCCTTTACTCGTCACCCACCGTCCGCCGCGCACGCTCACCTCTCGCGTCTCCCCGATCGGCGCGTCGTACTCCCCACTCACCTTTGACCTCCCTTGCGCCGACGTCTCCGCTTGCAAAGTCGACCCGCGCGTCATGAACCTTTCGTCGATGAAATCCGTCATCGGCAGCACGCGAACCTCACCCCTCAGCCCGTGCGCGCCCACGATCGCCCCCACTTGCACCAACCCATCGCCCGCGTCCTCGACGCTCGCCCTCGGCGTCGTCGAGGACTTTCTCACGTTCGCTCCGAGCGGCCGCCGCCTGTGATTCCAACGCCTCGTCGCGAACGATCGACCCCCGCTCGCGTCCGCGCGCGCGGTGGACGACATGACGAGCACGCGTGCGTTCGTCTCGTGCACCCGTCGCGCGCGAGGACGGGTCGGGAAGTGCCGCCGTGGACGCGAGAACGCCGCCGCCGCCGGCCCACCGCACTCGGTCGCGCGTCGATTCGTCGACGATGCCGCTCGACGAGCGCGAGGGCGAGGCACGAGAGCTCACGTTTTTACCGACAAAGAAGGGCACGAGCGGTCGCGCGGGTGAGCGAGCGGTGAGGGAGCGCGAGCGTCGGCGTGAGGCTGAAGAACGAGCGAAATCGACGACCAAACTGAGTTCGTCCCAGAGACGAAAGATGAAAAAACTCGCCGAGGAGGAGCGTAAGCGCGATGAACGGGCGAGCGTGATGGCGACGCTGGAGGCAAATAAGGTGGACGAACGTGCGTTGGGGTTGATGCGAGCGACGACGTCGTTGGGGACGAAAGAGACGGCGAAGGAGAAGATGAGAAGAGCGCTCAAGGCGGAACGCGCGGGCGTCGAGTTGGAGGATTTACGAGACGCTCGATTGACGAAGAGACCGAAGGTGGAGGCGGAGAGTGAGAGCGAGGAGGAGAGTGATGATAACCTGGAGAGCGAGAGCGAGCGACAGATGGAACGGGTCGGGGAGCGGCGTGGTGCGCGCATGGTCGACAAGGATGCGAGCGACGATTCAGAGGCAGAGGACGACGCATTGACGCAAGCTGCAGTACGAACGGCGGTGGCAGCGGGCATGGCGTCACTGGACGACGCGACTCGGGAGTTAGTTAAAACTCTACGCGCGAGGACGGGGATGTCGGACGAGGGAGACGCGCCCAAATCCAACGCATACAGAGGAGCGCATCACGAAGTTTTCCAAGGATGTTCATTTGTGGTCCCGGTGAACAGGACGGATAAGATCAATAGCACGCGCGAGGGACTGCCGATCGTGCAAGAGGAGCATGAAATCGTGGATGCTATCAACACGAACCCCGTCACGGTGATCTGCGGCGCCACCGGCTGTGGTAAGACGACCCAGGTGCCTCAATTTTTGTACGAGGCAGGGTACGGCGATCCCGAGTGTGCGAGTCATCCGGGAGCTGTGGCGGTGACTCAACCTCGACGGGTGGCAGTCACGTCCACAGCCCGTCGTGTTGCGGAGGAACTGAACGTACCACTAGGCGGAGATGTCGGTTATCAGGTCCGTTATGACAAAAACGTGGGCGAAAACCCGAGAATAAAGTTTATGACGGACGGTATCCTCTTGCGAGAGGTACAGCTTGATTTCCTGTTGCGAAAGTACTCCGTCGTGATTATCGACGAGGCACACGAGCGGAGCGTAAACACCGACATCTTGCTCGGACTGCTTTCAAGAATCGTTCCGCTTCGCGCGGCACTGGCGGCCGAGGGTAAGGCCGTGACGCCGCTACGTTTGGTTGTCATGTCGGCGACTCTTCGAGTCGAGGAGTTTGTGGGGAACAAAAAGTTATGTCCAACGCCACCGGCATTGCTCCAGGTCGCCACTCGTCAGTTTCCCGTCACTGTGCACTTCTCACGTCGAACGGAGACTGCTGACTACGTCGGTACGGCGGTGAAGAAGGTCCTCGCAATTCATCGTAAACTTCCTCCCGGTGGCATTCTTGTCTTTTTAACGGGTCAACGAGAAGTCGAGCTCATGTGCCGCAAGCTCCGAGAGGCTTATCCTCTTGACGGAAAGCCCAAGATCGTTGAAGACGAGGAAACAAGTGAGAAGGATGACGAGAAGGATGACGACATGGTGGACGCATACGACGTCGACGCGATCGATGCAGGTGGAGAGGACGTGAGCGGAGAGGACGAGGTCGATTTCGAAGGCGATGACGACTTTTCAGATGTCGACAGTGACATCAGCGAGGAGGACGAAGTGCTGATCATGGGAGGCGAAGGCGTCGGGGAAGAGGAAGCGGCCGAAGCTGAAGCGGCGTGGACCCGTGCGAATGCGCCTTCTGCGGCACTACGTGCGGCCGGTGGTGGTGGAGAAGTGGATGGGCCGGGTGGTCTGAACGTCCTCCCGCTCTACGCACTTCTTCCAGCTCACCTGCAGCAGCGCGTATTCGCGCCTACTCCGGACGGGTCGAGAATGGTCATCGTCGCTACGAACGTTGCGGAAACATCGCTCACTATTCCTGGAATCAGATACGTCGTGGACGCCGGTAGAGCCAAGGAGCGGGTCTATGAACGTGACGCCAGTTTGTCTCGCTTTAGAGTAGGGTGGGTGAGCAAGGCGAGTGCAGACCAACGCGCTGGCCGGGCTGGACGTACGAGTCCGGGGCACTGCTACCGACTTTTCAGTAGTGCCCACTTTGTGGATGAAATGAAAGCTCATGCGGATCCGCAGATCCTCGGAGTCCCCATCGAGGGAGTTGTGCTACAAATGCGCGCAATGGGCATCGACAAGGTGGTGAACTTCCCCTTCATCTCGCCGCCGGAGAAAGCTGCGCTGGCGGCGGCGGAGAGAACTTTGACAATACTTGGAGCCGTTGATAAAAGGCGGGGAATGGAGGAGATCGGTCCCTTGACGGACCTGGGGCGCGCCATGGCGGTGCTGCCGATCAGCCCACGACACTCTCGAATGTTGTTCGCTGCTGCGCAGAGCGGAGTGAGTGGATGTTTGTCGCCAGCGATCGCAATTGCGGCGGCGTTGAGCTTGGACAGTCCGTTTCTACGACAGTCATCCGAAGAAACCGCGGGTGAGGATGGCGTGAACGCGAACAAAGGCCCGCCTCCGCACGTCAAGTTTCATCATCCGGCGAGCGATGCCCTGTCCGCGGCTCAAGCTCTTTTAGCGTACGACTCGTGCAACGGACCGAAAGCGACAGAATCATTCTGCTCTACAAACAGGCTTCATGAAAAAACTATGCGTGAGATGAGTGATCTGAGGCGGCAACTTAAGCGATTGATCGTCAACCTCGCGAGGGATGTGTCCACGAAGCTCTCGACTGGCGATACCAGGTCAATGTTCACGGAAGGTGTCCTTCAAGAGTTAGAGTTCGACGCAGCGGCTCCGAAAATGCTCCCTCCCGGAGGTGATGTTGAGAGAGCTCTAAGACAAGCCCTCTGTGCCGGTTGGGCGGACAGAATCGCGCGTCGGTCGAAACACAAGGAGATGGAGCAAGCGTCTCGTTCAAATGAAAACGTTACAAAGGCGACACGTTATGTTCCGGCGCTCCTCGACGCAGCAGTCTTTCTGCATCCGACTTCTTCGCTCCACCGCTCTTCGCCGGACTATGTCGTCTACACAGATTTACTTCAAACTGATAAGCGGGCTTACATCGTCGGCGCTACTAGCATCGAGCCAGAGTGGTTGATAAAACACTGCTCTGCTCTCGTGGACGAAGGCGTGCTGTTGAGCGATCCGGCGCCGAGGTACAACTCTCGGGAGGATCGTGTCATCGGTTGGACCGCTCCGAGATTTGGTCCGCATCGTTGGGATCTGCCACTGAATCCGGTCGACGTTCCTTCGATCGACACGAGATGTGCTGTGTTTGCCACCGCTTTGCTTTCCGGGACGGTTTCTGAACCGATGGGGGAGCTGCGTGACAAGCTCGCCGCTAAGCCCCTTTTGGCGTCTAGACCTGAAGGCAAAACCCAGGCTCGGGTCATCGACTTACTCGGAGCGTTGAAACGCGGAGGAATATGCACGAGAGCGGGACTTCAGCAGGTCTGGGCTAAGAACCCAAAGTTTCTTTACCCTGAGCTGAAGGCCTGGCTGCGCCAAGGCAAGGCATACGCTCTCGAATCTATTTGGAGCAAACTCGTGCGCTACGTCGTGGAATACGACCCTGCGACCGCTGCAAACAAGAAAAAGAAGAGGCATTCGAAATGATGATGCTTCGTTAGCACTCTTAGGTTAGTTTTAGTCGGCACCTAGTTGCAACAAAAACGCACTTGCACACTGCGCGCGCGCGACTGGGGTTTACACGGGGGGTTTGAAGGGAGGAATCTTTTGAACTTGGTGGTGTTTAAATGAACACCATGTTGGTTTGAGACGCTCCGTGGATGCGGAGTTCGTCTTTTCTTTTTTTGAGTTGCGTAAATAATTTACGCGCGCTCACCGCGGATGCGGCGGGCGAGTTGCACGTCCTTCGGCATGATCGTGACACGCTTGGCGTGGATCGCGCACAAGTTGGTGTCTTCGAACAAGCCAACGAGGTACGCTTCGGACGCTTCTTGGAGCGCGAGGACCGCGGAGGATTGGAATCGCAAGTCCGTCTTGAAGTCTTGCGCGATTTCTCGGACAAGGCGTTGGAACGGGAGCTTGCGGATCAAAAGTTCGGTGGACTTTTGGTACTTGCGGATCTCACGGAGCGCAACGGTACCCGGGCGGTACCTGTGCGGCTTCTTGACGCCGCCGGTCGCCGGGGCGGACTTGCGGGCCGCCTTCGTGGCGAGTTGCTTGCGCGGGGCCTTGCCACCGGTGGACTTACGAGCCGTTTGCTTCGTACGGGCCATGTTTGGACTGTCGAGTTGTGACGCCGCCGCGCCTCCGCCGCGCCGCGTGCGGGCGATCGCGGTGAGTTCGTGATGGGACTCGCGGACGAGTGATGAATCACACATTTCACGAAAATGAAAAATGTCATCATTTTCACGTGAATGATTGTTACGAAATGGGTCAGAAATGAGTCATGAATCAGAAAAAAACATTGCTCGACAATCAGCGCGGTGAATTCAGATGGAAATCGCCCTCGGGAGGCTCACGAGACTCCAACCGTCAGAAGGGCGCGGCCGGGGACTTACAGAAGGTTGTGTTCCACGCCAAGACGTCGGCGTGCGCGGCGTCGCGAAGGTTCTGTAACCTGAACAACCATCGACTCCGCTCGGGGAGGTCGAAAAAATCAACATCAACGCCTTTGGGGGATTTCTTCCGATCTCCCGCGCGCGCGTGGCGACGTTGTCGATACCACGTCCCTTCCGTGCTGTGCCAGTAAATCATATTTTCGAGCGTGATGAAGCGCTCGACGAAATTTGACGAATTCGGTACGATGCGTACTAAGCTTCGACAGTGATTCAGCACGAGCTTGAAGGCGAGCAGCTTGCCGTTCATGTTCGTCTCGGCACTGAGTGTCGGGCAGGCCGGTCGCTGGGCCGTCCCGCCTCGAGTAGCTGCATCGCTGATGATCTGCGTGATCAGCGCGTCTCGAACGACGAGAAATTGCCAGTGATCCTGACGAATTTGGCACCGCTGCATAGCACGGTAAAGCTGAAGCGGGGTGTACACGCCAACGTTTTTCACGCTGTATGTCTTCATGCGTTGCTTTCTCCAACGCTCGTGCCAGCGCATAACTTCCTCGTCTTCGCTTCCCCCGCTCGTGACGTGTTCATCTTCGTTTATGGTGACTGAGCTATCGGACGAGCTCGTTACCACTCCACTTATTGCCGAAGATGAAAATCCGCTGCTACTGTAGTCGTCATCGCCGAGCACGCTTGCGCTGCCGAGCCGCAATTTGTTCCCAAACTCTTCACTCACGAGGTCGGTTCTCGATCCGGACGTCGAATCCCCCATTTCACTGAGGGATCCATTTCTAACCACTCGCGGCTTGCTCGAGAGAGCGAGCAAATTTCCCTCCGCATCGAAGTGCGTCTCAAAGCCAGTCGTGTAGTCGTGCGTGCAATAAAACCAACGCGGATCGTGAATATCCCACGGCTTCGACATCGGTTTGTGCACCGCCAGACCCGATCTAATTTCCGCCTTGCACTTTTCACACTGACACTCGAAATGCCATTCCTTGAGTAAACTCCGTCGCCGACATCGAGCGGGAAGCCATCTGAGCGATGGTTTGCCATAACATATCGTGATCTCCTCGCCCGCCGCTATCGGTCTCAACGAGTAGAGCGTCACCTCACCCTGGTCCGAAATCGCGCTCACCTCGGCGTTTGGATCGCACGAGTGATTACAAGCGCCGATCGCATCGAACATCACCATGGAACACTGCACGTACCCGGCACTGTCGCCTACGCCGTTCGGCGACCGAGCCGCCGGTCGGCTCGTACGCGTCACCGCGTTATACTTTACATACGCCGCAAACTCCAACCAACCCTCTGGATCATCCACACCAATCTTATCTCCGAACGCCAGAATCTCTTCCGCGTCGTCCCGATCCCCCAGAAGCGCCGCCGCAACCTTCCTGGACGGAGCCGGCGCGCGACTCGCGTGCGTCTCTCGCCGCGCCCGTAACCTTCCCATCAGTTGCGCTAAACACGACCCTTGCGAGCGGAAAGTCCCCTCGATCGCCGTCACGCGCTCTTTAATCAACACTTCGCACGCATTCACCCCGGTCGATGCCTCTAAACCGATCCTTCCGCTCCCGCTCTCCGCTCTTCGCTCCGTTTCCCCCGCGCGCCTCGGAACCGTCTTCCCAATCCCCGCGCTCCGTTTGACCACCCCAAACCTCCCGATCCACGCCTCTTCATCGAACGTCGCGTCCGTCTGGTCTCCACTCCGTCGCGATCGCCTCGACCGGGCGCGTCGTCCGAGGCCCGGAGAGTCGCTCTCGAGCGCCTCGCGTCCATCCGTGAACCCGAGCGCGCGTTCGAGCCCCGCTCTCGCGCGCGCGTCCTCTCCCGAGCTCGACGTCTCGTCGACGACCGCGCGTAATGGCACCATCGCCCGCGCGCGCCCGTCGTCACGCGTCGCGCGACGACGTCGACGATGCGCGCGTCGGCGATGGGTGCGGTCGAATATACTTTCACGAGTCGTGACCGGTGAAAGAGCCCCACCGATGACCTCAACCGTCATCGATCGACGCGCGCTCGTCGACGCGACGCCATGGCCCCGGAGGCGCTGCGCGACGACACCAACGGGCTCGTCACCGTGGAGCGATATCGACGTCGAGGGAAGACGCGGGCGTCGACGACGGTCGGCGCGGTGGGCGCAGACGGAAGAGGAATCGACGGTGAGGGGGACGAAGACGACGACGACGACGACGACGACGACGACGACGATAGAGGCGACCGCGCGGGACGGAGGAGCGGTGAAGACGAACGCGGAGGGACGCGACGGTGGGTCCGCGGCGGCGGCGACGCGGGCGGCGACGGAGCGGGCGAGGACGTTCGTGTTCAAGTCGAGGAATAAGTTGACGCGGTGCGCGCGGGCGGAGCGGGAGCATCGAGCGCGGTTGGCGAAGCTCGCGGAGTCGAGGGCGTTCTTTGATGACGTCGATGAGGTGTCGTTGGCGGAGGAGAGCGAGGGATCGACGCCGAACGGAAGGGGTGGGGCGCTCGGCAATCGCCTGGAGCTGAGCCCGAGCGGGTTGATCGAAGCCTTGCAGGGATTGGGATTGGTGAACGACGCGTCCGGGCTCAGGGCGAAGATGGCGGCGACGACGCGACGAGACTCGATGATTCAGTCGCCTCGAGCGCAGATGCTCCCGATAGGACGCGCGGACGCGTTCGATCGAACGTCTGATTGGGTGTCGTCGCTCCCGGCGTTTTCGCCGATGAAGGAGCGCGTCGAGTCGACGACGTTGTCCTCGCCCGAAGAGAATGAGTCCATCATCGCCACCGACGATGAGGTTGATAGCTTACAGGGCGACTTCGAAAGACTCGTTATCGACGACGAGTGCTCGCCGTTGGCTGCGCTCTTGCGCGCATGCGGCCAGTCAGAGGGAGACGTTAGCTCGATGGCGTCCTTAGTGCGGACCCACGTCAAGCGCGGGGTGAAAAAAATCGGCGAAGGAACGTACGGTGAGGCTTACAGGGGTGAGGACGGCGTGGTGATGAAAATCGTGCCCATGGGCGGCGAGGCATTGGTGAACGGAGAGGTGCAGATGGGGCCGAACGAGATCCGTTCTGAAACCTCCATCTTAAAGGCGCTCACGAAACTCCGCGAGCACGTCAAGGACGAGATCGAGAAGAACTTTACCGACGGATTTATTCGACTCATCGACGCGTCGGTGTGCCGAGGACCGTACTCGAAAAAGTTACTTGAGGCGTGGGACAAGTACGCGGTGACTGGCGAGACGGAGAACGAAACGCCCGGCAACCTCCCATCAAATCAGCTCTACATTTCGTTCGCCTGCGAAGACGGCGGAATCGATCTTGAGCACTTCAATCTTCGATCGGCCAAGGAGATGGTTGCGCTGCTCTTCCAAATCGTCGTCGCTCTGTCCGTCGCTGAGGAGGAGTGCCAATTTGAGCACCGCGACTTGCACTGGGGTAACGTTCTCATTAAACGCGTTCGCACTAAAGAAAAGGTCGCGCGGATCAACGGCGTCGATATCAACATTCAGACCTCAGGTTTAGACGTCGCCATTATCGATTTCACGCTCTCTCGACTCACCACGGGTGAGGGAGACGTCTTCTGTGACTTGAACGCGGATCCTGAGCTCTTCACGGGGCCGAAGGGACACTGCCAATCGGAGACGTATCGTCGCATGAAGCGGGTGACCAAGGGCAAGTGGAGCACGTACAACCCAAAAACGAACGCGCTCTGGATACACTACCTCACCGACGTGATTTTGGAGCAAAAGGACTTCCCCATCAGCGTTGAGGAAAAGCACGAACTCGTCGCGTTCCGAAAGCGAGCGCTCGAGTACGAATCAGCAGGCAAGGCGTTGTTCGACGACCTTTTCAAGGGAATCTGGACTTCTGGAAAGAAGAAACAATGATCCGTCGAGCCTGTATCTAGAACGTCCATTAAACTGAACATTGCAACGTCAACGTTGTTCGCTCGCCGGCGGAACTCTAAACTCGAACTCGATTCGCGCTCGATTCTCCGGACGGGAGCGCCACGCTCGTTCCCTCCCCACCAGAGCTCTTCTTCCACTGCGCCCCCCACTCGTTGTCTTTCACCAGCGCCCGCGTCGTTCCCGAAGCGAGCACCCACGCGCTCGTCCCGCGCGCGTTCTCCGCTCGGACTCTCACCTCCAACGCGCACCCGTCACCCCCCCCGGGCGTTTTCAGCGTGAACGATCGCCCCGTGCCGACGAAAACGTCCATCCACATCCCCATCGTCGCCTCTCTCCCCGCGCCGTCGGCGAATCGAACGCTCACCGCGTGTTCCTCCTCCTCGAGATTGTTTTCGCTCGCTCTCGCGCCCGGGGTCCACGAGATCACGATTCCATCGCTCGTCGACGCGCACGACACGTCCACGGGGGGGTTCGGGGCGCGGGCGAAGAGTCTGCTTCGCACGAACGCGAGCATGGGCGGAGGGAGACGCGCGTCGACGCGTGCGGGCGCGGTCAACGCGTCCCGGTGAAAAAGTGCGCACGCCATCGCGACGTGTTCGGTCGCGTCAGAGCGCGACGCGACGACGAAGCGATCGAGCGCGCGTCGAGGCGCGCGTCGATGTCGTCTTCGGTCGTCACCGCGTCGTTCGGGACGCACGCCGCGAGCGTCGCCGCGCACTTTTGGAACGTGCGAGAGGATGACTCGGATGAAAACGATGAGGTCGATTGGAACGTCGACCACGCCGAGCGCGCGCGCGTGAACGAGGGCTCGACGTCGATCTCGTACGTCCCGAGATGGGTCGCGTTCGACGCGCGATCGCTCAGAGGGAAAACGACGGCGACGGGGTTGTCGAGCGGTGACGCGGCGGCGGCGGCGGCGGCGGCGTGGAGCGGCGCGTGGACGGTGACGCGCGCGCCGCCGACGCGCAGGAGCGCGTACGCGCGAGCGCTCGAGCGCGAGGCGAAGGCGTTGAAGAGTGAAAGCGCGTTGCGGGCTTTGGTGGGAGACGAGGATGAGGAGGATGGGCGGTCTCGGAGTAAGCTCGGCGTCGTCGGCCGAGCGCTAGAGCTGCGAGCGTCTGGAGGCGTCGCGGCGGATCCGTTAGATGACATGGAGGACGTCTCTCGGGCGTTGATCGAAGCGGCTGAGAAATTGGACGTCGACGCCGAGCATTGGAGCGATTATCTCAAGGTTGAGCTGTGCGAGCGAAACGAGTTTGCCTTGGCGGGAAAGTGGACCGGCATCAATGCCTTCGATGGTTTCGGCGAAGGGACGGATTGGATAGAGAGTGAGGACCGAAGGGAGGACGTGCGGGACGCGATTCGCTATTGGGTGGAAGGATGTGATGTTTTAGGTGGGTTTAGAATTCTGTGTGACGATTTGAGCGGGTTCGGGGGAGTGTGCGCAAAGGCTCTTGAGGACGTTCGAGACGATTACAACCATCGAACCGTGTTTGTCTTCTCGACTCGACCGCCAGCGAAGAAGGAGCGTAAGCGCATGGACATGCTCAACGCCGCGTTTGCAGCGACTTCGCTCGCTGCGTCGAGTGACTTGTATTGTCCACTCGCCGCGTGCGATGACTATTCCCCGACGCTTCGAGTACACGAAGACAGTTGGTTTCACGCGTCTGCCGTCTGCGCGCTTGCAATCGAGGGCATAACCACCCCGTGGCGGCTCAAGCGGGATGTCAGCGGAGCTTCGAACATACATGAGATGTGCAAATTCATGACAGCTCGAGCTCCCGGACCTTTCGCGTCCGTGAAGACATCGGTGCCGGCACCTGGGATTCGAGGCGCCAGCGACGCCGACACACTGCTCGATTCGATGCGCTTCGTTAGTCCGGGCGTGCGAGCACCCGACGGGGAAGATGACGCTCCGTTCTCGGAATTTTTCATCGCGCGAGGTCTCTCGACGGACTCCACCGTCGTCGCGTCCACGATCGACGCGATGACCTCTCGAGAGCTCTATCGATGTCCTCGTCGGCGATGCGTCGTGACTACCGAGGTCCCAATCCCGCTCCCTTTCCCGAGAATATTCCCCTCTGGCCGACCGAGCTCGGTGCGCTCGCTAACCAGACTCACCACGAGCTCGAGCACCACGAGAGATCTCACGCGGATTCACACAGATTTCGCTCGTGCGTCTATGTCGTCTGTCGGCAAGACCATCTTGGCCCAGTGGTCGTGCGACGCCGTAGAGCGCGCCGAGATCGTCGAAAACCTCTGCACCCGCGCCCGCGCCTACGCCGGTGACGACGACGCGGATGATTTTTAGTTTCCTAGCAGATGTAGTATGCGTAAATCCATCACGATTAGGGAGAGACACGGTGTATTCCTTTGTGAACTGCCCTGGAGGGGCGTCTGAGCTCCAAAAGACCTAAAACCTCAAGGTGACGTCGTGCTGGCTGAATTCGATGAATGATGTTCCTATGACAAACGCGGCTTCGCGTCTAACCCAAGTGCTACGTACAGATAAAAACCTCCGATTACTTCTTCTCCCCGTTCCACCCGCGAACAGCGCCCGCTGGGGCGAGAACCTTCCGGCCCTTCGCTCGGCGGCTCTTCAACACTTTCTTTCCCTTGGGCGTGGCCATTCGGGCGCGGAACCCGGACGTACGCGCGCGCTTTCTTCGCGTGCCGCTCAGAGTGCAACCGATGGATTTAGATCCCGCGACAACGACCAGCGCACCGCGCTGACGGCGCTCGATGACGGCGTTCACGGAGCGAATCTTCAACACCGCGGTGGTGGACGCGTTCGCCTTGAAGCTCAAGGGCTTGGCCATCGTGGACGTGGACTTGCTCGACGCGACTCGGGTCACGGTCGGGAGCGCCGAGGCGACGGCGGACATGGAGAACGCGGACATCTTCACGTGCGTTCCGGAACGACGCGCGCGCGTGTGCGGGGACGACACGGAGAAACCCATCGAACCCAACCCTCGCGCGAGGTCGCGCGCCCTCGACGAGGCCCCCGCGCGCGTGATGCGTGTCCAGACGGGGACTCCTCGAGAGTCGTGACTCGAGAATGTGACACCGATGGACGGTTCGGATAAACGTCGCATTTCGCAACCGTGCACGGCGTTAAAACCACGCACAGTGCGAGCGTGAAAACGCTCGAGATCGATCGAACGATCCCGCGATCGCTTCGAGCGCGCGAACCGCCCGGGGAGGCGTGGGATGGCGAATCGGTTCGCCCCGCACTTCTCGACATCCCGTCGTTGAACTCGCCGTGGACGCTCGCCTACCTTCGCGCGCGTTCGTCTTTAAATTATTTCCTTCGCCGGAACGTCTCAGACACACGCACTGAACGATAATGATCGCTCAACGAAGCGCGCTGAGCGCGCGATCGATCGCGACGCCGAAGGCGACCAGGCGATCCGCCGTCGTCGCCGCCGCGGCCGACCGTAAGATGTGGTACGTCGACGCGACGCGTTGAAAATGTTTTTTCGTTCGATTCGTCTCGCTCGGTGAACGCCGCGGACGCTCGGTGGCGAACGAGCGCTCGAGAAGGTTGAGCGGCGTATCTCTGATACGATATCGCGACAACGAGATATGTTTGGGTGAATGAGTGAAATTGAAGGCTATCAATCGACGAGGCGAAGGACGCACGGAGGGCGTTTGGTGGTCGATCGAGGACGATGCGTGTGCGATCGATGAAGAGCGAATTTTGACACGTGGAGCGACGACTGACGTGAGAAAATTGTCACGACGACACAGGCTCCCGGCTCCTTACAAGGCTCCGGCGCACCTCGACGGTTCCATCGCCGGGGACTATGGTTTCGACCCGCTCGGCTTGGGCACCAACCCGGACCGATTGAAGTACTACCAAGAGGCGGAACTCATGAACGCTCGTTGGGCGATGATGGCCGTCGCTGGCATCGTCGGTACCGAAGTTGCGGGCATTGAGCCGCGCTGGTGGGAAGCCGGCACGGAGGACTATGGGTTCCCGCCGGCCGCCTTGCTCGCGATCCAATTCCCGGTCATGGGCTATTTGGAGAACAAGCGCATTCAAGGTTGGATGGCCACCGGCAGCTCGGGCGTGAACGAGACGTTCCCGTTCGACCCAATGGGCATGGGCTCCAAGGATGCGAACATGAAGCTCAAGGAGATCAAGAACGGCCGCGCCGCGATGATCGCCTTCGTCGGCATCGTCGTCCAAGCGATCGTCTACCGCGAGGGCCCCGTTGCTGCCCTGAAGGATCACATCTCCAACCCGTTCGGGTGCAACATGGCGACCAACATCATGAACATTCCGGTCAACCTTGCGTAAATCGGAACGACCATGTACCTCCTTAGACTAGCCTCGCCTGTGTGATTGATGAGTGGGCTTTGAGAATGTTTGCATCATTAATCACCCCAGTTCGCTCGACGAACGAGCAATCATGACGTGAATCATCGATATCTCACCTCGCTCGACCGATCCGCACGGTCGCATCGACCGCCCGTCTACGCGACCGCTGGCCCGATCGTCACGCTCGCCTATGACGACTGGTGATCTTCACTCCAAGTCGCGTCCATCAACCCTAGATATGCCTAAATGTCGCGTGAAATTCCCGAGTGATCTCGCCAAGGGCACCGAGGTCGACGCCGAGACGATCGAGGACGCTCTTCAGGCGTTCATCACGAAGAAACCGGAGCTTAAAGAGATTTTGAGCTCTGAGAAATTTCGAGATTTCATCCTCGTTTTGAGCGAAAACCAACCCGAAAACCGCGATGTGATCGTCCCGCTCGACGGGAAAATGTCGATCGCGAAGGATGCGACGTACCAGGCCCACCTATCGCGGTCGTACGACCTGCGATCGATGACGCACCCGACGCGTGGGTACGTCGTTGGGCGTTTCCGGGGCGAGCGCGTCCCCACTTTCGTCGCCGGAGAAGACGCTCCGGTTGAGTGGCAGATGCGACGGATGAAGAGTGAGGTGAACGGGACGTCGATGACGCTCACCGGGGGGAAGAAGTCACACAGAGGGACGTTTGTGGGGACAAGAGACGCCCAGGGGGCTTCATATTTTGTGTTGATGTCGCGAGGGAAGGAGTTCGTAGCGATGCCGTGCGAGGAGTGGTACACGTTCTCGCACCGCGCGCCGAGACGGGTTCTGACGCTGGAGGAGGCGGAGGCGAAGATGGAGGCGGGGAAGCGCGCCGTGGGCGAAGCGTGGGGACGGATGGACAAGTCGGCGGAGCCAGGGTACTCGGACGACGAGAGCGATGGAGATCGAGGCGATCGAAGGGACGACTCGAGCGACGAAGAGGACGCGTTCAAGGCGACGAAGAGGGGGAAGAAGAAGGGACCTCCCGGGGGTGGACTCGATAGCGACGACGAAGACGAGGGGAAGAAGTCTGGTAAGGCTGGAGGAAAGAGCAAGGAAGACGAGACGGGAGAGGACTGGGAGCACGACGAGGAATGGGACGACGATGAGGACGAGGTCGCGATACCCGACGACGAGGAAGCGCCCAAGGAAGTGAACAAAAAGATCGGCGGTGATAGCGATGCTGAGGACGAGGGTTTGGATAAGGAGGGCTTGGCGGTTAAAAAGTTACTTGGAAAGCAAGAAAAAATGGATGGAACGCAGTTTAGTGACTCAGACTCAGACTCAGAGCTCGAAGAGGACTTCAACCCCGACAAGGACGATATCGGCGTCAACGTCGTCGGATCGTTCGTGAAACAGAGTAAAAAGCTGGAGGCCGAGGAGACCAAGGCAGCTACGAGCCCGCCAGCGATGATGAAGTCCGCTTCTGTGTCCTCCATTGGCGTCAAGAGAAGCGCTAGCGACGCTGCGGTGGACACTGCTCCGCCCGGTAAGGCGGCTAAAGTCGCGGTGGCGCAACCCGCGGCGCCCAAGCATACTCCAATCGAAGCCACCATCATAGATATCGTTCGCAAGAATCCGGACAGCACCACGGTGAAACTCATCACCAAGACGTGTCGCAAGAAGGGACTGCTGAACAGCACCGCCGGCGCCGAGGAGCTCAAGGCGGCGATCAAAAACTTGCTCGTCATGAAAAAGCTACGAAACGGCGACCAAGTCTTAGTGTTGAAGTAATCGGATTGTCTTCTTTCACCGCTCTCGCGCGTAATCGTCGTCCTCCGATGAACAGTCCCACGCGCCACCGTGAGAGCCTCAGACCTCGTCGCTCATGTCGCTTGAAGACCTTCTTCGCTCGTTCGCCTCGGCGTCGCCGTTGCACATCGCTCTTGCCCTCTTATTCATCCTCATTGCCAGGTCGTTCACGGCGTCCAAGGACGTTGGATCGAAACCCACGAGGGATGAATCAGACTCTGAGGAGGAAGACTTCCCAGCGCCGCAACCCGCGGGGGACCTCACGAAGCGCGAGCTCGCGACGTTCGACGGTAAAGATCCAACGAAACCGATCTTACTCGCCGCCAAGGGGGTCATCTACGACGTCACGCGAGGACGAGACTTTTACGGCGCCGGGGCGTCCTACAACGCTTTCGCTGGGAAAGATTGCTCGCGCGCTCTGGGCAAGGTGAGCCTGGACGCGGAGAATCTGAGCGCGAACGTGCGCGATTTCGCGGCGAGCGAGCGGGACACCCTGAACGGATGGGTTGCGAAGTTTCAGGATAAGTATCCCGTGGTCGGTAAGGTGAAGGATGGGGATTACAATGGTACGTTTTAGCGAGCGGGACGGAGCGGTGAGCGAGAGGCGGGACTCGGGCGAGACGCGACGCGACTCTCTCGGACGCGACTTCGCGCGAGAGTTACCTCAAGATTAGCATGCATTAGCCGTTATCAACTCCACGTGTGAGTCTCGTAGCGAACGCGTCTATCCAGCTATCGACGTTCGGCTTGGCTCGTTTGCTGAGAGAACTCACAAAAAGCGAAACTCGGCACTTCGACGCGCTCTCTCGCCATCGAGGCGTCGCGCTCGATGCGCCGCGCCGTCGCGATAGAGGCTTCCGCTATCCAGAGCGCTCGCTTGGCCTCCACGCGGCGCCGATGCTCGCGCACGACGGCGTCTTCGTCCTCTTCTTCTTCTACAGAGACGTCGGTGCAACTCATCGGCGCCGGTCCGGGCGGGGCGGACTCGCTCACGCTCGGCGCCGCGAAGGCGCTCGCACGGTGCGATGTCGTCGTGCACGACGACCTCGGAGCGTCGTCGTCGAGTGTCTTGGCGCTCGCGACGAAACCGAACGTGGAGTTTGTCAGCGTCGGTAAGCGTGGCGGCGCTGCGCGGTCGTGGACGCAGAAGGACATCTGTGCGTTGTTAGTGGAGCTGGGCAAGAGTGGAAAGACCGTTGTTCGTCTCAAGGGTGGGTGTCCGTCGACGTTCGCGCGAGTAAGCGAGGAGATTAAGGCGCTTCGGGACGCTGGCGTGTCGTATGCCATGCTGCCAGGAGTGTCATCAGCGCTCTCTGCGCCGCTGAGCGTGGGAATACCGCTCACCGATCGAGAGCTTGGGAGACATTACAGCGTGTGCGGCGCGCATGACCCGAGTTCGATCGATTTCTCGGCATTTTCGCGGATCGACACATGCGTGTTCTTGATGGTGGGCAGAACGCTTCCGCTAGTCGTCGAGGCGCTGCAAGGGGACGCTAGAAAGGCGCCCTCGACGCCTTGCTGCGTGATTCGAAACGGGATGCAGCCAGATGAGCGCTCGTGGTTCGGCTCGCTGTGCGACATCGTGGACAAGACGACGGGCGAGTCCTTATCGCCGTGCGTCCTCATCGTCGGCGAAGTCGTCACGCTCGCTTGAGCCCATTACGTGGGAGACTCTAGAGTAGCTTAGAAAATGTAGAAGGATTAGGTGACGCGTGCGTGTGCGTGTGTGTGCGTGCGTGCGTGCGTGCGTGTGTGTGTGTGTGTATCGGATCTCCTTTCACAAACCTAAACACTGTTCGCCAACTAATTCTACCACGAGCTCGAGCGTCGATCTCCCGCTCGTCATCACCAAATAAATTCCACGAAGAAAATCGAGAAATTTAACGGTAAGACTTTTGGAAGCGCGCGCGCGCACCACGACCGCCAGCCTTCTTCGGTTCCATGCGACGCGGATCCGCGACGAGGAGCGTTCTGTCGTACGCCAACAACAGGTCCTTGATCTCCTTCTTGCTCGCCTCATCGATGAACTTTTGGTAGTAGGCAACGAGCGCCTTGGCGATCGCTTGTCTCACGGCGTACATTTGCGACACGTGACCACCGCCCTTCACGCGAATGCGGATGTCCAAGTTCGCAAATCGCTCCTTGCCGAGCAACAGGATCGGCTCGACCGCCTTGAGGCGGAGGGTGTCCGGCTGAATGAGGTCGATCGGAACACCGTTGAGACGGATGAGGCCCTTGCCTCGCTTGCAGTGCGCGACCGCGACGGCGGTTTTCTGTACGTTTCGAAAAAAAGCGTCATGGTCAGTACTTGTTCCGTGTCTCCCCTTCGCGTTGTCGTCCTCAGCCCCCACGAGCCCTCTCCAGCGCCGCCGTCGACCGCACGCTCGACGACGCCGCGATGGGCGATACGAACGTTCATCATAGCGTTCATCACATCCTGTCACGCCTTCCATCGCCCGAGGCTCGCCGAGCGCGTGGACCCGACGTCGCGCTCTCGACCCGTGATCGCCTGACCCTAGCTCGAGCGCCCTCGAAATCTCGATCAACGTCTCGTGCGCGCGTCGCGATCGCCCAGTCCGCGCTCGAGACGTGATACGCGTAAAACTAATACGCCGCAACACGTTCACGTTCACAATCGTACCTTGCGCCCGAAGGTTTGCACGCTCTGTGTCGACAAAAAGCGAAAGACGCGCGCGGTTAGGGTCAGCTCGGTCGATGCGCGTTCGCTGCGATTCGTCGCGCGGCGCGACGTTCTCTCCATCACATCCATGTCCGCGGGTTCGACGCGATCATTCGCGTTCGTCACGATCGATCGACGCACCATTTGCTCGGACATGTCGACTGAGCGCCTACGAAAGGCGGATCGCGCGCGCGTGCGCGCGAGGTCGTCACGGCGAACTCGGCCTTCGGGAATTACTTTGTTGTTTGTCCATTTTATACGGAACGTTTATTTGAGTCATGACTCGTGGGATTACCATGACTATGTCAGCGATGTAGAGGAATTCATATCGTTTCGTTGTCACAGCGCGACGAGAACGCAGCGCAGCGCATCATCGCGACGTCGACGCGAGGCGCGGTAAGAACCATCTGAGCTTGATCGCGAGCGTGATTTCGTCATGCGTTCTCGGTGCGAGCGTGGACGAGAGCGCGATGGATTCCGGGATGAGGCGACGGACGCGGAGGGACGCCTCAGCGTCGGCGACGGCGGCAAAGTAGACGTCGAAGAACCTCTCGGCGACGCGGGAGATGAGTTCGACGAATTCCTTGGAGTCGATCTCACCTGCGTCGTCGCCGACGACTTGGAGTTGGCTCAGCGCGAACGCGTGCTGCACCGCGAGCGGGCTGAGGAGGTGACGATCGACGTCGTTGAAGCTCACGATTTCGAGGTGCCGACAGAGGCACATGAGCTCCTTCAGGTCCATGGTCTCGAGCCCTGCGCCGACGCCTGATTTAGCCTCTGCGGCAGCGTACTTTACGAACGTGTTTTGGATCTCGACGCTATGTTTCTGGAGCGTCTTTTGGACTGAGCGAAACCGCATTCGGACTCGAAACTCTTCGACGTCGATCGATTTCGCCCGAGGACACACGACGTCGTGGATGAATCGGCTGACGGTGAGGCCGAAAGTATCCTGTCGTTCCCCGATTTGCTTAGCCAGGCGCATGATTCCACAGATGAACTCTGGCATGATGAGTGTCCTGTCACTGTTCGACATGTCTTGATTCTTTACCTTTCGTCCGCGATCATCCGTGACCCAATTCAACCGAATAAAAAGTAATTCAGCGCTTGATTTCACTAACTGATGTCTCGAGTTGGATCCAATGAGCTTACAGTCCTTCATGAACGTCATCCAGTCCGAAAGCGTCATGCTGCCGAGCTCGGCGGCGGTGATGTTCTCGTCAAAAGCGCAGAGCATACTCGAGTAGTACCTGAAAATGTTTCGGATCGATGGGTACTGGTCGATCAGTTCTCTTTCGAGCCGTTGCAAATTCACTTTGTTCGCTCCTCCCATCTCACGCTTGAGTAAGTCCTTGGACTCGTGCGCCACGGCTCCAAAGACTGAGCCAAATTCTTCATTCATTTGCTCCATGGCGTCGTATTCCTCCACGATGTCGACGTCCGACACTGAATCTTCGTCTTGCTTTTCTGCGTCTTCAGAACCGAATTCTTCGTGAAGAACGTTTTCGTGAAACAAATCTGACTCGATGAGCGCGCGCTGAGCCCTGATCATTTCCAAGGCTACACAAAATTTGTTCACGGAACGAGGACTGAGCGGCCTCTCGTATAAAACACCGAGCGCCTCCCGCGCGTCTCGGGCACACTTTCTTCGTATGCGCGTTCGCATTGGGAGCTGATGATTGTTTTCCTCCTCGTAATCACTAGCGCCTGGCTCAACCTCGGGTTCCACGGAGGGTTCTGTTCGCGAGGAGGCGCACGGTAACGCTCGCGACAAAACCTCTTCCGTCGTCTTATCAAAACTCTCAACAAGAGAGCTCGTCGCCGGTTCGTCATCTTCGAACGCGCGGTCGATCTTACGTCGATGTAATCCCGTATCGACCTTCGCTCGTACCGATTTCAACCGTTTCCGCGTCCCTCTACGATGTGCTGAACCTCCTGGTGAGCTGTCAAAGGTTGAACTCGTGCGCAGTCGAGGACATCGCTTGGACTCGCGCGCTTTATGAGCGCTGAGCTCTCGAAGGAGATCGTTCGTGCGGTTTCGTCTGCTTCCTAAGATGAGCAGCTGCTTCGTTCGCGCGCTCTGCATCGACCTCAGGCGATGCTTTGTGAGGTTGTGCTTTCTCGTGCTATTCTCGGCGGTGCAGTCCACTCAAATGAAAACAGCAACGATGACACACGTGGAAAACATGAATGTGCGTCAGCTTACAACAAATAATAACTACAAGAATTCTTCTCCAATCATCTCGAGCGAGCTCGCGGAGCCGATGCGGGAGACGACACTGCTCCTCAGTCGTTTCCAGCGCGACATGATGCGAGCACCAAACTGAACGAATATGAGACCACTCGCAGACGCGCAAATGACGAGTGCCCAAGCCGTGGAAACCGCTGGGTAACCGTACTCGTGCACCAAAGAAGAAGAACAGAGCTGACCGAGCATTTCGCCGAAGAAGTATACGGACAAAAAGATCCCGTTGGCCAAGTCGGCGTACTTTGGTCCTTCCTTGCTCACAGACGACTGCATGATGGGTAAAAATGGGACGAAAGCAAAGGCAGAGCCTGAGCCGTAAATGATACTAGCGCCCCAAACGCACAGTCTCTTTCGAGCCGTATCGCTAAGCGTTGGTAAATCCAAGAGCGATGATGGACCGAACAACAGGTGCGCGATTGCCATGGCTCCCATGCCCACGAGGCATAGCAAAATGTCCGCAAGCCTCGAGTTATGGCTCACCATGCCTACGAGCGGAGTAATGAGAGCGTACAAACCGGCCAAGAGAGAGTACACCACCCCAATCATCGACGGCGTGAAGCGAAGCGTTTGATTTAGGTACAACGGTAGCGTTGTTGGAATACCACCGAAAGACGTCGACACGACCAGCTCCGCGAACGCCGCGCTGAGGAACGTTGGATGTCGAAGAACGCGAGCATAACTTGGTTTCTCTTCCTCATTCGCGCTCTCGCTCGGTGGTGCTGGTTCACTTTCGATGGAACGCATCGCGCGCTCCACTGCTGGTGCCGTGAGCAAAATTGCCACTCCATTTGCGACGAGAGGCAGCGTCGCGCTCTGCCCCACGTCGTACAAGAACCCACCAAAAATCGGACCTACGAGCGTCCCAAACCCCGCGGCGACCTCTTGTATCGAGCTCGTGAGCGCCACCGCCTCGGGCGCCGCCCGCGTGATGATGCACAGCATGGTCACTGATGTCAACGCGTTGCAGCACCCTTGCGTGAACCTGAAAACGAACCAAACCCAAGGTTTCGTCCCCCCGAACGCGCTCGTCGCGAGCACACACGCTCCTTGTCCAAGCAGTGACCGCATCGCCACCTTTTTCGCGTCGTACCGCCACACCAATCTCGGTGCGAGCGGGGACAACAAAAGCGTGCCGAGCGGCAGCGCGGCGAACACGACCCCCACCGTCCGCGGCGACGTCCCCGCGCGCCTAAACTCCTGCGCCAAGAACGGGAACGGCACGCTCATGCTCATCGTGCACGCCACGAGCGTGACCGCGAACGCGGCGAGCGCGCGTCCGTGTCTTTGCAAAACTTCCTTCGCGCTCGCTGTCGCTTCGGAGCTCGTCTTCGACGCTTCCTCCGTCGTGCGATCGCCCGCGACGCCCAGGAGCGGGGCCTCGTCGTCCCCGGACGTCGTCGCGTCGTCGACGTCGCTCGAGGAGGACGCGGACGCGCCCGAGATGTCCCGCATGACGAGCGACGCCGTGTGTCGAGTGACGCGACTGCGCGACGCTCGACAGCCCTCGCGATGCTCCTCGCGCGCGCGCGCGCGGTGTCGACGGTGAGACCATGCGCGCGCGCGTCGATCGCGTCGACGCGCGCGACGAAGCGAGCGCCCGGGGCGACGCGCGGGAGAGAAATCATCGGCGCCGCCGGTTCGCGACGAATTCAAGTCGATGACGCCCACGCGCGCGCGGTCGCGACGAGGGCGTCGACGGCGAACGGGAACGATTGGGAGGATCTATTCGACGCGTTCGAGCGCCAAGGGGCGGCGCAGAGAATCCGGGAGTCGATCCCGAGGGTGAAGGCCAGGGCGCTGGAAAGAGCGCTCGCGAGAGGTCGACGAAGAGTCGAAGTGGGGAAGTTATGCAAGGAGCTCGAACTCGATCGCTCGGACGTCCTGGCGTGGTTGAAAGCGAACGGACATCGAGCGGAGGAGCTGGCGGTGACGTACGCGGAGGAGATTCGATTGGAGGCTGATGAGAGTGCGCAGCGAGAGGCGAGGTTGGAGCGCGAGCGCGAGGAGCGGGCGAGACGGGAGCGAGAGCGAGAGGAAAAAGGGAAGAATCTCGGTCCGGGAGGGATGCCGGCGTATAAGTCGTACAAGAAGACGCGATTGGGGGCGTCGAATCTGGCGACTTTGGAGAAAGTGTACGCGCTGACGCAGTATCCAGATGACGCCATGCTCGAGAGCGTTCGACAGGCGACGAAACTGCCCACGAGCAAGATCATCGCTTGGTTCAAGGAGCGACGGGGCGGGAACAGGCGCGTTTCGCCGTCTTCACCACAGAGTGCCGGCGATCAAAGGGTTGAACGAAAGGGAACCACGGGCGGGTACTCATACACTCGTCGCGAAGACGCCGACGATCGAAAGAGCGGTCTCCGTCGCGGAGATACTCGTGACGAATATGGGGGAGGAGGCAGAGGGCGTCCCGGACGTGACAGCGCCTCCAACTGGTCCCCAAACTAATCAAATGCTGCTCTCAAACTTTTTACAAACGATTGTATTCTTAAATGTTCAGATTTTCACTTCGAGCGAAATTTTTCAGTGCAATCGCGCTATCATCGCTTGCCTCAAATTGGTCGTCAAATTCGCCCTCTGAGAGCAACGCAGGCGAGCGATACATTCGAGCTTTCATGTCACGAATCATTTTAAGCGATCTAACGAGCGCCACGGTCGTGGCGACCCAGAGAATGATGAGTAAGACGATGGCGCTGTACAGCGAAGCCGTGCTAGCTGCTCTCGGCGTGTACGGAGACTCGCTGGCGCTCGACCTCGCCGCGGAGCCCACCATTTTGTTCGGACAGGCGCCGGTGTCGCGTCGTAATTCGATCGAGTCCACGGGCTCCATGGCTTGGGCGGAGATGTCCGGGATGGAGCGACAAGTTTGTGCGTTTCCTGTCTTGACGAAGTATGACTCATTGCTCGTGGTGTTCTCCACGCACGTCGTCCGACGCCACTCCCACGTCGCACGAGTCTCGTCGTGAATGACTAAAGAGCCGGCACCAAACGAGCCTTCTCTGAATGCGCTGTACGACGGCTGCGGCTCGATCCAACCGTGACCGTATGGACCTTCGTAGTTACCGCCGTCGCCGACAACGATGTGAACTGGACCGCATTGTTGTGTGTCGTAGTTGAGCACCGGATGCGATCGCTCATACGAGTGGACGTGACCGTTCAATATTAAGTCAACACCTGCGTCAAAAAGAATGCGTTCGAGAGCTTTTCGCATGCGCTCAGCCTCCTTGAAGTGTGCATGATTGGAGTTGTACCAAGGAACGTGGAACACGACAATCACCCACGGCGTGTACTCACGATTTATCGCTGCCAAATCTTGCTTCAGCCAGGCGATTTGGGGCGAGTCTGCACCGTCAAAAATTCCAACTTCCGTGTTCGCGTAGCTGTTTAACCCGATTATGTGCGCCTGTCCGACTTCGTAGGACCAAAACAGTTGCGACGGACTCTTCGACGCCACGTACGGAGATGGATACCGCGACAAGTATGACACGAGCTCCATCCCGTTCTGAGCCACGTCGTGGTTCCCTGGAACCGTTAACATGGGCATTTCGCTCAAAACAAACTCGCTCATCGCTTCGAAGCTATCCCATCTCGGCGCAAAACCGTCGGCGTAGGAGAGGTCCCCTGTGTGCACGAGCACCTCTGAGTCTCCCAACTGCTCCTTCACGTGCGTTAGCACCTCCCGAGTGACCTCCGTCTGACCGGTGTCACCAACGACCGCGATCTTCGTCGTTTCCCGCCCGCCCCGCTTAGGCGCTTTGGGCGCCTTGAACGTCCGTTTCGTACCGACTCCGCCTGGCGTGGAGTATGAGTACCGCTCGTCCGCCTTGAGTCCCGTGAGCACCGCCGTGTGCACGATCGGCGATTGATACATCGCGTCCGGGTTGCTATAATCTAAGCACGCCGACTTATCCCACGGCGCACTCGACCAGAACGCGCTCGGAACGACGTCCTCGAACGAACCAATCACTCGGTAGTTGCTCGCGTCCGCGTCCGCCCACGAGCTCGTGTTCGCGATCGTCGCCAACGCCTCCGCGTCGATCGCCGGCTTTGGACCCATCTTTGGATTGAACCCATTCGGACTCCCTAAACACAGCTGCTCCGTCCACGACGCGCTCTTGATCGCCGCCCGTCGCTTCCGTCCGCCGGCATCCGCGAACTCCAGCTCCGTCCCGCTCGTAAGCGCCTCCCGCGTCGTCCACGTCACCGCCACCGCGCCTCGTCCGATCGGCGTCAAGTGCGCGCGCGAAGACCTCGTCGTCTCCGTCAACGCTCGTCCTGAGCGCACGGAGTCGAGCGAGGCGTAGTAATCTCTCGACGCGGGCGGTCGTTCGAACCGAGACGTCACCCCACGCGCGCTCGCCCCATCGCACGGCCGCGAGACGAGGGCGAGCACGAAGAGGACAGCCGCACGCATCGTGCGCGATCGCTCACGCGACGCGCGGCACCGTGCGTGCGACGCGATGTGAAGATCTGTCGCAAGATGGCTACAGCGTCACTCATGCGCGCATCGTTCGCGTCTATCGTGCTCTCGCTCGTCCTCGCGTGCGTCTCAGCGCGAGCGGAGACGCGAGCATGGACACGTCTGAACGCTGAACCGTTCGAGCGTCGACCGTGCGCGTTGCAGCGTTACGACGCGAGTGCGTTGGACGTCAAGACGTTCGATGATTACTTTCGCGCGTCGGGCGTCCCGGTCGTCGTTCGCGGACTCACGCCTTTGCGAGCGCGCACGCTCGAGCGCGTGCGTCGGGAGAAGCTTCTCGAGGCGCTGGGAGATGAGTTCGTGACGCTGAGCTCGTCGAACACGCACTCGCGAGGACGACGGCGGAAGACGTTGCGAGCGTACGTGGAGGAGGACGTTCGGATGAGTCAGAGAGGGAGCACGGACGCGACGGAGACGTGGTACTGGTTCGGTGAGCACGTTGAAGAGGGTGGGGAGATGTCGAGGGGGTTGAAGGAGATTTTGGAGACGTATGAGAATTTACCGTACGTACCGCGCGACGCGGATGTGGCGTATTCTTTCGGCGTCGGCGGAGGGTTCAGTGGCGTGCCGTTCCACACCCACGGACCCGGATGGAGCGAATCATTGATAGGACGTAAGCATTGGTTCTTGTCGGCGCCGAGCGCGACGCCGAGGTTCGACCCGAACGTCACGACATACGAGTGGGCGCTCGACGCCTTAAAGCGAGGCGAGCTGCACGAGGGTGGAGCGATTTTGGAGTGCACCGTGAACGAGGGTGAGGCGATTTACTTTCCTCCGAATTGGTGGCACGCGACTTTGAATCTAGATGAAAGTGTGTTTATAAGCTCGTTCGTGAATTACAAGAGCGATGCTCGATGGGAAGAGCTTTGAAAAGGTGCATTTAGTTACAGTAAGACCGTGTAGTTTCATCTGGTAGATGTAGAGTTCGCTTCACTTCTCGGTTAGCTCGCGGAACCCGCTCCAATGCTTCGGCGCCGAACCACCGTATGTTTCCATGACTGCGAGTAGACTCTCGCTCGGACCGTCCATGACGGTGTCACCCTTTGCGTTGATGTACGTTCTTGTTGTCTGAAGAATTTCCGTCGCGAGCGTCCAATCTCCAGCAATGTAACTCTCAACACCTCGTTTGAAATCGAAAAGGAAGGACTGTTTCACTCCTTCTCGCATTTTCAGAATGTCTGGATGTTCATTGAACTCGTCTGTGTACTCGTACAAGCTCAGAGTCTCTTCCTCAAACGTTCGCTCGTAGTTGACCTTCTCGTCTGGCGTTGCGATGTTTTCCGGCTGCACGTCAAAAGTGTAAAGCTTCACGGGATTGATAGAACCCTTAACGGTGACGCAATCAATCTGTCGACTTTCTTCTCGAATGTGTTGGGACAACAAGTCTGCGAATTCCCCGGTGAAGAGGAGAGGAACCCCAAACTGCTTGGTTGCCGCTTCGAGACGTGCACTCACGTTGACATTTGGAGACAAGTAAGAAGCATCTACCTTGTGCTCGCTCCCGATCGCGCCCTCAATGGCCCAACCGACGTGAAGGCCAAAGCCCATTTTCACGTCGAAACCCTTTATGCGTTCGTTTAATCCCTGATTATCGCGATACCTGTTCAAGCGTGCACTGCGGCGAAGCGAGCCGATGATGGTCACGAATGAAGCCAGCGCATTGTCCGCTATAATCTGGATTCTTCGTCTCTTTTCCGCACCTAGCGTTTCCATGTTTTCGATGTCATCGCCAGTGATATCTTTAGGGAATTTCCAAACGAGCAAGAAAGCGTCTCCGATATTCTTGTTGGCGCTACCGCCGTGCACATGTACCTCCATGTGAACAATCTTCGCTATCGTGTTCACGAACTCCATGATATCCTCTTGCAACACCTCCGTGGTGTCGGTGAACTGCCTGATGTCGCAAAATCCAAAAATAGCGATGACTTTCTTGCCTGGAATCATTGGATCAATCGCGCCGCCTCGTTTCATGTTTTCTGCGATAATTTCCGAACCAGCGTCGCCGAAGCCAACAGCAAGCAAAGAGCAGATGCGAGAGATGCTGTTCTCCAACAATCGCGTTTCCATCTGCTCCTCACCGTCGTCCTCACCGTCAATTTGAAACTTCGTTAGTGGATTTTCACTCATCGTCCGGATTTTGTCGATCATTCGATCGAGCGGGCGGAGCACTAGGGCGTTTGTGTCTTTGCTGAATAAGACGGCGCCAACGATGAGAATCACGCAGACAAAGATCGTGCGTAACACGCTGAGCAAAGCTTGAATACGACTTTCGTACTGACGATCAAAAAACACAAAACTCAGAGCGTCTTGTCCAGAGCTACCCGAATACGTAGTGAATTCGAATTCTGTGCACCTGAGCTCCTTGTGCGAGCGGTCGTCGAGCGTGAAGGACAGATCTGTGCTCTGCGCGTAGTTGGTCCCATTTACCACGAGTCGATACATCCCATCGGTTTGATCGTAATATCTATCCACTGCATGATAAAACCCTTGTTGTTCGCCGACGGTGTTGATCATGGTCTCGTGCACCATCTCTAATCCGCCTATCGCAAGCTCCGTCCGCGTGCCGACGGGATACATCCTCACGTCGAACAGTGGAAGCACGACCAACGTCAGCAAGATTCCAAGTATCACGCGTTTCGTCGTCAAATCACTCAACTTTTGTCCCACGCGAGATTCGGGTTCTTCAAAGTCCAGAAGAGAGTCCTCATCTTCGGCTTTGTGCTCATACGCTGTCCCGGCCAAGATGAGATCGACTTGCTTGGTCATGCTGTTGCGTTTGGCATCCGCTAGGCTCGCGAGCCGCTCGGTGCGTTGACGTGTCATCTCAATCGTCTTAAATATTTTCACCAAGCGAATCAAACGAATGATGCGAACAATGCGACCAGCTCGAGTGGCTGCTCGAGAAGCTCTCCCAGCTTTGGCGAAGCCTCCGTCCGGACCACCACTATCGCCGCCGCCGTTCGAAATACTATCGAAATTCGATCCGTTTGAGTGCACACCTAGGCATGGATCCATACCGATTGCTCGCATGAACGCCGGGATGTCCGCCAGCAGACTCGTCGTGGCCACGAGATCGAGCCAAAAGTAAAAACTTCCCAAGAAGCCATCGATGGCGAACACGCTCAGGATCAGCTCGATCCCAAAGCTTACCAAGCTCACGTACACGAGGACCAAGAATCCCAAATCCGCGTTCGCATTCGTCGTCAACAGCCGCAGATCATCTCCGAACAGGGCCCACGCCGTGATGTTCGCCATCCAGATCGAGACGTGTCCGCTCTCCAGCGCCGCGCTCGTCCTTCGCTTGATTCGCTCCACGCGCTCCCTCCATCCACCAGCCGCGCGCGTCATCGCCCGCTCGCGCTTCGCCGACGCACGCTTCGCTTGACCTTCATTCACGAGCGTCATCGCTTGCCCACGCTCGAGATCGCCGTGATCGAACGCGCGCCATCGATCCGCGCCGACATCCGCACCGCTCGGCGCGTCCGCGGTCGCGCTCGACGCGTCGAGCGGCGCCGTCGACCGTCGCTCGCGCGTCCCCGGCACGGGCTGCACGAAGCACGACGCGCGACGACGCGCCTCGCTCACGACGGTTCGTCGCGACATGGGCGGGGCGTCGACGACGAGTGAGGCGTCGTTCGCGTTAACATTGGTATGTGCGAGCGTTACAAAACGCCTCTTCGCCTCCCCGGTGTGTTTCGCGCGCTACGCGTGGGTAATGTTAATGTTACAAGCCGCGGGAGAGGGCGCAGCACTCGAGGCACGCGAGCGTGTCGACGACACAGCACGCGTGGAAGGTATGGGAACACATAAATGTGATGAGATCGCCCGTGTCATCGCGGAGGAGGGATTGGCGACACGACGGGCATCGGCGGAGATCCATCTTGACGCCCCAGTCGCCGACGTCCTCGATGGACGCCGCGACGGGGACCTCGTGGGGGGTTTTGAGACGCCATTCGGGTGCATTTTCGCCGACATGGCACTCTACAAATGGTACGGCGTCGAGATTTCCTCTCAGTTCGGCGTCAAGGACGGTTTGAAGTTGAGGGAATCGACCGAAAGCACGGTTTGGCGGATTCGACAAATGCCGATGCACGGGATTGAGAAGGTCCGCAGCGTCTCGACGCAAATCGAGATCGTTGACGTGTTCTGTCGTCAAAAATGCCGTCACATTGGCGAGCACTCGACTCACGGCCTCAGCGCTAAAGTTTGCCGCGACATCGATCGGCGACATGGCTTGAGTCAGAGCCGCGTCCTCGGTGGCTTCGCTGAGTGCTCCCACAACGTCTATGGGACCCAAGGCCGAGGAGCCGATGCGCGCGATGAGATTCAAGCGCGCATCAACGCGATCAATATCGACGTCCTGACCACCTTCAACCAAGTTCAAAAGCGCCTGACGAAGGCCCTCCATGATAATCGTCCGTGCGTCCGACTTGTCGCACTGGCGAAGACACGCCGTGTACTCAGACTCCAAAGCCTTATCGACGTCACCGATGGATGCGTCGTTCAGTGCTCGTTTCACGGTCTCGACCTCGATCGAGCTCTCAACGCGATATTCCTTGACGGGCGATTGGTTTGATATGAGCACGGGTGACTCACTCTTCATCACGTCGGTGTCCAGCTGAAGCTCATCGCACGTCGCATCGAGCGACTTTTCCAATTCTACGAGAAGTTCCTCGACGCGCGTCTTGATCTGATCGGTGACGGCTTGGTGCTCACCACTATCAAATCGGTTGAACAGCTTAACCATCGACACGCGCTCTTGCCGCCAACGACGAAGGCAGAGCACAAGAGGTCCAGCATCCAGGCTTGTTCGGGCATCTTTCAAGGCGTTCGCGCACGCGACAGCTCGCTCGATGCGAGCTTTTAACGCCAATCTGTAATCCACGCGAACGTCACCACCTTCGAGTTGAACATTTGTCAAGTCCGTGAGTATCGGCACGCGATACGAGCTCCAGTGCTCGAATCCTTCACCTTCCACGAGAAGCATCTTCTTAGCGGCTGAAACGTCTTCTAGCCACTTTTGTAGGTCGTACGCATCGCACTGGACCCATTCCGCGTCGTTGGTCGGCCACTCGGTACTGTAATCTTTCGCTTGCACAAATTTCGTCTCCGTTATCTGCTTCGTCGTGACAGTAGGAACGTTTTCTTCAATGTCATCGAGAATGTTTGCTTGCCGTTTCTTCACCACCCTTGCTGATTTCTTCGTTGCGTCGGCGTCATCCATCTTCTTCAACTTCGAAACGCCTCGAGGATTGTAGAAGAAGATACCATCGCTCTCCGCTTTCGGAAACTCATTCGACGGCGGAGCCATCGTAACAACGCTACTTTCTTTCGTCGTTCGATCTTTCCCGAGCGGTAATCGCCTGCCTTCGCTCGTCGATGGTTTTGAAATCGGTTCAGGCAACGGCGCCAGTTGTTCTTTGGCTACTTCTCGAGCGTCCTCAACCTTAGCAGGTGGTTTCAACTTGGCTCCGACGTCATCGCCCCACTGTATGAGGAAAGCAAGTCTCGACCGAGCGTCCTCATCGATGCAGAGATCCGCCGCATCGTTTGCTCGCGTGAACAAGTCTTTGTCGAAACACATTGTCTTTCGACACACCTCCAAGGCTTGAATGATCTCGCTAGTAGATGAAAAATCTTTCGCGATCTCTCTCGCGAGAGCCACCGCATCTTTGAACGACTCCAGGCACCACACTGAGCTTCCATCGCCCTCAGATGGCGTCAAAAAGAAGGCGCGGTGCTCGGACACGCAGGTGTCGATGAAACCAGCGCTGAAGAGCTCACTACCAGGCTCTTTCAGAGGGTACCATTTGGAAATCGACGGCGAGACAATGTCGATGATGGACACCGCGCGATCGGTCGTGGAGAGAATGCACGGGCCGAGGCGATGCAGCAACCCAAACTCGAGCTTCTTAGAAATCCTCTTCAGAACATCTGGCGACTCGTCCTTCCCGTCCCATCCGGGAGCGTACGATAGCTCTGGGACTTCAGGCTTGATTGTCGCCATGATTTCCACACTCGCGCCTTGCTTCGTGCCGTCGCGAACCTTCGCGATCCACAGTTTACGGCCCGGACGAGCTAGAACGACGTGTTCATCGGCGAACGAGTCGTCTTCATCTTCCCCAAACTCCTCTTCCTCTACCTCATCCGCAACGCTAAGGCTGGCGTAATCGTGAAAACATCCGCCGTACGCGCCCTCCCGCTGTTTGCTACCTATGTTCATCGCTCGACCGCTGTCGTCACCCTGAACTACAATGAGTTGTGCGCTCAATTGCGAACTCACTACCAAGTTACGTCCGCTCGTTGATGCATCAAAGTCGTGCACCGCGCTCCCGACGTCGACGTACTCTGTCTTCTTTGTAACTGCTGGTCTCGAGCCTTCCCGTCCGCCCTCGCACCAATCCACGAACGCCGCGCACGACAGCACCGACGTCCGCCCACGATCACTTCCAGCGTACAACTGCCTCGAGTCTCTCGACCACGCCATCGCGGTAATTTTCCGCCCCTCGTGCGTCGTCGTGAGGTTCGCCACGAGCTCGCCCGTCCCGCTCCTCCGCCCGCCGCCGCCGCCGTCCAGCTCGATCACCCTGACGCAACCATCCGCGAATCCGAGCGCACACATCGCTCCACAAGGAGAAATCTTCACCATTCCGACGCTCTGCGTCACCACCCGCGTCCGCGCGCTCCCAACCGCGCCGACCGTTTCCGGAGACGCCACGCACGCGAATCGCGGCTTTGACTCTGAATCTCTCCCGTCCCCGCTCCGCGTCCGCGCGAACACGTACGCCGAGCCCGTGTTCGCTCCCAAAACCAACGTTCTCGCCCCCACGTCCGCGCACGTGAACCGCACGCGCGCCGACGACACCGCTCGTAGGTCGCCTGGCGACAACACGCATCGCCACTGGACGGACGACGACGACGACGACGACGTGACATCGCTCGCCGCGCCCGCGTCCATCGCGCTCGATCCATCGTCCGCGACGCTCGCGTCGGTCGTCATCGGCGACGCGCCGGGACGTGGCGACACGGCGCTGGAATGACATGTGAATTGAAGAGAAGGACGTGAAGAGAAAATGATGAGTGAGTGAAATGAATGTCTCACTCGTCGACGCGCGACGCGGACGCGACGACGATCGAGGACGGGAAAGCACGCGATCGGAGCGTGGACGTCGTCCATGGGCGCGGTCTCGGTACCTCGATACGAAGCGTTCTTCAAGGATGAGAGTGGGTTACGAAGGAGTCTGAAATTTTTGTTGAGCAAGAGCGAGGGGTCCGTGATCGACGTCAATCTGCCGAACAAGGCGAAGACGGACGACGTCCTGTCGTGGTTGGACGCGATCGAGAAAGATGAAGAATTGCGAGGACGGGTGCGGGCGATCGCGCATTACTCGATGAAGAATAACTATCTCGGGAACGCGGAGGCGCGGGTGCGGAGAGTGAAAAGTTTCGCAAAGGGCGTCGCTTCGCGAGGCGGAGATCGCGCGTTATTGGTGTCGGGGAGTGGTTCGAGAGTGTGCGATACCGTGGAGATCCTTCGTAGACTGTCGAGCGATCGTGAGTGGAAGCGAGAGCGCGGAAGTTTTGCGTTCGATGTCGCGTTTAATCCGTACTTTCCAGACGCGGCGGATTTGGCTCGAGAGCGCGAGCGGTTGGCGTTGAAGTTGAAGAGCAACATGGTTCGCGGGGTTTGGTTTCAGATAGGATGTGACTTGAACGCGCTCGAGGCTGGGATCGAGAGCGCGAGGGCGATCGCGGGTGACGCGGGTGCGGAAGTGGAACTTTTTGGCAGCGTGTTCCTGCCAACAAAGTCTCTCTTAGCTCGTATGAAGTTTCGCCCATGGGCGGGCGTGTACTTGAGCGAGGAATATCTTAGTAGCGTCGAGAGCGCTGAGCGGATCACGAAAGCCCAGCTCGAGGTGTTCGCTCGTCACAGGGTGACGCCGCTCATCGAGAGTCCAATTTTGACCGACGCCGATTTTGCGCAGTGTCAGCGTCTGCTCGGCGTCTCTTCGGGGACCAAGCGCGCACGAGAAACGAAGGACGATGGAGAATAGAGTTGTAGCAATTTGTAGAGGCATGTGACAAGAATGTTTTAGTCTAAATGTTGTGTCATTACTTTGCTTCGGCTGTTTTGCCCAGCGAGCGCCAACTTGAAACAAGGAGCTTTTGCACGCACTGCAGAGCGTACTTGCGCACTTCGTCATCCTCGTGATTCATCAGACGCATCGTATGCTCTTTACCCCCGAGATCGTTCGCCAAGAATCTTCCAGCCGGGTAGTGCACAGCGAATTCACCGATGTCGTTACACGCGACAGCGAGCGTTTTGGAATCCATCGGCTCGTTGCCATCGATGAGCTTGATCAAGACGCGAAGAATTTGGCAGTTGTTGTCCGTGAGTTTGGTAGCACACTCGCGCCAAAAACCTTCGTCTCTGTGCGCGGCGCTCCATTCCAAGCTCCCGCTCATGACCTCGTCCCTGTAACGCTCCCAGCTGCTCGCCTCTTTCCGACGATGCAGCAAGTCCTCATCGAGCTCCGTGAGCGTCACCGAGAGCTCTTCGTCCTCGAAACCCTTGAGTGAGAGATTTCTGACCAACTTCTGCAGCGGCTCGTCCACGGCGGTGAAGTTGTCCAACACCGCCTCGCCCTGCGCTCCTTGTCGATCGGTGACGTTTTTCAGCGCCAGCACGCACATGCGAATGACTTTCTCCTTGCTCGCCGCACCCGCGCACGCCATGAGAGCCTTCACCGCGCTCGCTCCTCGCGCGCACATGTCCTTACGACCCTCTTTCGTGAAACTCATCAGCCAAAAGCAGAGCGCCACCTCGTACATGGTCTGCACGCTAAACCGGTCGTTTGCCCGCAGAACAGGAGTGAGCAGCCCCACGATACCCTCCGTCGCGGCAAACACCCGCGACTCGGGTATCTCTAAAGATCCCGCGAGCGCACAGGCCACCGCGGGAACAACGCCGTCGTCGCCGCTCTCCGTCCACGACCGTAACTCCTTCGACGCCCAAGAGACGACGACTCGCGCCGCGCGTCTCGCGCTCTCCGCCTTGCTCTCCGCCTCGACCCCAGTTCGCGGTCGCGCCTCGATGAGCTTCGCCAAAACTCGCGCGCTCGTCTCCTTAATGAACCGCGAGTTCGCGCTGTCCGGTCTCGACAGCGTCCTCGACATGGCGTAAAACGCATCCGCGTCCGCCGTTCCGTCCACCGCCGCCAGCGTCCCGTTCCCATCCGCGTCCTCGCGTCGCCCATCGTACGTCGCCAACAACGCCGCCCCATTCACCTCCCCCCCCCCACTCCGCTCACCCTCGACGTCCCACGTTCTCGAGTGCACGACGACGTCCACCAGCGCAAGCACGTGCTCCGTCGCCTCCGTCGCCCCCACGTTCCCCAGCGCCCCCAACAGGGTCTCGCACACCGCCCCCCCGTGATGCCGCATCGTCGCCCGCATCGTCCCTCGCGCCTCTCGCGATCGTCTCTCGTCTCGATCGACGCCCGCGCCGTGGCCGTCGACGTCCAGCGCCCGCGCGACGTCCGCGATCTTCGTCAATCGCGCCACATCCTCTTCGCGGAGCAAACGTCCGCGCAGGAACGATTCCCACGCCGGTTCGCGGTCGAGCGCCGCGCGCAGGGGCGTCGCGGACATCCACCCGAGCGCGCGCGCTCGCACACGCGCGCGGCGGTGCGGGTGACGCGATGAAGTGACGCGATGGGCGTCTCGTCGACATCTTGTCGGCACATTTCGCCATGCCGAGCGCGCGCGCGGGGGCGTGGCGGACCGCGCCCGCGGCGACGCCTCGGTGGAGGTCTCGGGGACGACCGCGCGGGCGCTCGACGCGGGCGTTCGGCGAGACGGGGCCGTGGGTTGGGTTTCAATCGGACGAGGCGCGGATCGAACGCCTGCAGAGAGAGCTCGAGGGCGAGCGCGCGCGCGCGGTCGAGCGGGAACGCGAGCGGTTGAAGGCGCAAGAGGCGCTGATCGCGGCGGAGAGCGCGAGGGAGATGTACGCGAGACGGTTGCGAGAGAGCGAGAAGGATGTGTTTAAATTGGAAAAGGCGCTGCTGGAGAAGACGCGAGGGGTGGAGACGGCGATGGCGGTGGCGCGGCGACAGATCGCGTGGCAGGAGGAGCGATACGGTGAATTGTTGAAGGAGTGCGAACGATTGCGGGCGAATGGGTCGAGCGATTGAGATGGGGTGCCCGCAGACGTGTGCGCGAATGTGCGCGCCGTGTATTAAAGCTGTAGGATGTTTTTTCTAGCGCGGCGAAGCGGATTCCTCTCGAGCGGGGATTAGGATGTCGTCCTGGCGGAGCGTGCCAACGATGCGACCCTCTTCGTCGACGATGGCGACGAGAGCGGCGGAGTCGCGGACGCAGAGCATGGCGACGTCGGCGACGGTGGTGTCGTCTCGGAACAGACGCTCGGGTCCGGCGCTCATGACTTGGCCGACCGTAATCCCGGGTCCGACGTCGGCGTCCGCGCGGCGGAAAGTACCGACTGGAATGCCCGTATCGTCATCGATCACGACGGCGTTGAAGTTGGCGCCGAGAGATTGGATGGCGTCCGAGACAGAGTCGCTTCGACGCACGATGTCGCCCCGACGCATGCAAAGTGCAATCTCTGGAACCACCGTTTCGATCGGTTCCGACGGAGAAACGCCGTTCTTGAACAGCAAAGGCTCCACAGCGTGCGATTGCACGGCTTGGGCCCAACCACCCCGCGGCGGAGGCGCCGGAGACTCCCCGATACCTTGCTCATCAAATTCGTCGTACGACCACGCGCCGTCGAGCAAATCGAGCGCCTGCGTGACCGACCACACGTCCGGTTTTTCCCATCGACACAGTGAGCCATTGTGATTCAGAATAGTCTCGCTATCCAACATCGTGAGATCGTCGTACTCTTCCTCGTCGTCTTCGTCGAATGACTCAGTGGCTTGCGCGCGCTCGCTCACGTTTTCGCCGACGTCGCATTCGAGCACCTCTTGGACGAACAAAGCTACGAGAACACCCGAAGAACGATCGCGGAACACCTTCGCCGCCGCGGCCTCGTTACCATTCTGCACGCGGAAAATTGCTGCGCGCGCTCCTTCGACGTTGCCGGCCGCGGCGCACGCCTCGGCTTCGAACATGTCTATTTCTGCGGCGATCTCGCCGCTCGCGTTCTTCGCGCGCAGCTTGTTGCCTAATCTCTTCACGCCGTCTTCATCACCCTTGGACGCCAAAAAGCGCATGGCAGTAAAGTATACGCTGGGACTGATGTACATGTTCGCCGCGTAGCCGTGATCTAAAGCATGCAGGGCATTCTCAATGTCGCTGTTGGCCACGAAGGCGTTCACAAATGCTCCGATGACGACGCCGTCTTGCTTCACATTCTTCTTTATAAAGTTGTTCCACAACGATTTAACCACCTCGACACCGCCTGCGAACTCCGCACCCGCATCAACGACGCCTTGCGCCGCCGCCGTCTCAGCGACCAGAGTCGTCGTGTACGACACTGCGTCTGGACGGCAGTTCTTATCCTTGAGGATGTACATCTTCTGCAGCAGCGCGCGGCACCAATCCGGTCGACCACCCTTGGCGCACGCGGAAATGATGATGTTGTACGTAACCTTGGTTGGTAGCACTCCTGCTTTGTTCATCTCGGTAAGGACGTTCAGGCACGACAAGGGGTCTTTCCCGCGAGCGGTTGCCTTGATGAGCGCATTCCACAGATACTCATCCTCGTTAAAGTTTGTGGCGTTTTGAACGCGCCCTTCCCACTTCATGATGCGCTTCATGAACCTACGCGTTCGTCGCACATCGCCACACGTTGCACACGCGTCGAGAGCGGCGAAGAGCATCCGGGTAGTCGCCGCCCGTCTCGGGTACCACCTCGTGCCCATCTCATCGCGTTTTGGGAACTTGGGGACGTCCTCCTTGGACCATCTCCATGATCCGCGTAAGATGATGTTCCCGCGCTTGCCGACGCCGAATTTCGCATCCTTCGGTCCCCGTCCCCGCTCCCATTGCTCCAGTAACCCCAAAGCCTCGATGAGGCGTCCTTGCCTGGCATATCCCAACATGAGCGCGCTGTACGCCGGCGCGCCAGCCCCGCACTCTTCCGGTCCGTCGAGCTTCATCAAGAGCCTATACGCCGTATCCAAATCCTCACACTTCCCTCTCTCTCTTCCCCGAGCGCTTTTCCTTAGAGAACGGAACCGGCGTCTCCGCCTCCGTCGCAGCCGCCACCGTCGCGTGCTCCGACGCGCTCAACCGTCGCCCGAGATCGACCGGCGTCCCGATGAACCCCAACGGCGAGCGTCCCACAGCCATCGGCTGCACGGCCGTCGTTGCCGCCGTCGGCGACACCAACGGCGATGACGCGAGCGCCGCCTTGTTCCTCGCCCGCAGCGCCTCTGGAGTCACCATAGCCCCGAACCCATCGTCGTCCTCGCTCGAGCCCCCACCGTCACGCGCTCGAACTTGCGCCATGACGCACTCGAATCGCCCCCTTCGAAGCGCCGCGTCGTCCACCGGGTACCACAGTCCGACGCCGCCCGCGAACGCGCCGTATCCGTGCAACGCGCCGACGTCCACGCGCGCGCCCGAGTGCGCCGTCACGTGCGCGTCCTCGATCGCCCTCTTCGCCCCCGCGACGCCGAGCTCGGGGTCGATCTCCACGATCAACGACGTCCCGAGCGATGTCGCGACGGAGAGCGAGACGAGCGGCATCGGAAATCGATGGAGCGGACGCCGCCGCTCGCGAAAAAGTGGCTTTGCTTCTCTCGATCGCGCGCGCGCGGTGATGCGCTCGAGCGGCGGTGCGCTCGGCGTGCGTGGTCACGCGATGGACGCGCGCGCGCTCGAACGCGCGCGTCGCGATGGACGACGCGAGTGGGTGTGTGCGGGACGCGCTCCAACCGCTTGGAGCGCGCGCGGAAGCCGAGGCGAGCGGACGACGACGCGGACGACGATGGGATTGGTCAGGGTGGGACATCGCGAGCGATGGCTGGTGAACTATGCATGTAAGGGTTTGTGGGCGCTAGGGCGCGGGTTCGGTCAGGATTTCGGCGCGGTCGCCGTCGCCGGCTCTGGCGGCGTCGGAGGGAAGATGGATGGTAAGAGCAGAAACGGCGCGGCGACGGCGACGATGAAATACGGCGCTGCCCGCATCAACGCCCGCGGACTCGTCGCGAGCTCGCGAATATCCAACGCGGGCGGACGTTCCGGATCGATCCCGCGCGGGCAACCGAACTCGGCGCTCGCGCACGCGAGATTCACGGCGTCCAGCTCGTCTCTGGCTTCCGCGCGCGTCGCGCGCCGCGCGACCTCCGGTTTTCTTCGCAACCGACGACACGCCGTCGCGAGCGCGGCGTCGATATCACCCCTATCACCGCTCGGAACGTCTCCGAGGACGTAATACGCCGAACCGATCGCGGTGTGTCTGCGCTCTAGTCGCCGCAGACGCTCCGTCCCGCACGCGCGCTTCAACGCGTGCTCACTCAGTGCTTCCTCGTCAGCGATCTGCGTGCGTACGAGCGTCAGTCTCTCGCGCGCTCGAAGGACATCGTCTCGCGAATCGTCGTAGAATCGAATCGCACCTCTGCGCGAAAGAACGGGTCGCGCGCGAACCTCCACGTCTCCAGCGCCACTGACGCGCAGGCGGCGCACCGAGCAGATGCGATCGGCGCCGCGCTCGATCCATCGCGATCGACGACGGTGCCAAAAACGTGCACCGCGATCGCGCACGCGGAGGCGAGCCAGGCTATTAGGAACGCGCGCGACATTGTGGCGTCGTACGACTGGGTCGGTTACAAAGTCGACGCGCTTTACTTCTTCGGCCGCGTCACCACCTCGATCTCGGTCCCCGCCGCCGCCTCGTCGCACTTCACAACGCATTGACACGCCAATCGCCACGTGTCCTGCAATTTCCCAGCCTTGCGCTTTCTCTTCTCCGCGTCCGTCTCCTCGCTCAGCAACTCGCCGCCCCTCTTGACGTCCACCGCGCACGTCGCGCAGTTCCCCAACCCACCGCAGTTCATCATCGAGTCCCATCCGGAGTACAACGGTGCCTTTGCCTCGAGCGCACACGTGCGAAGGACCTCGTTCGCGGTGATCTCGCGCTCGATCGCGCTCGAGCCGTCGCTCGGAAGGAATGTGACTTTGACGCTCGCTCGAGTCATCGTCGACGCTCTGTGCGCGGCGTTCGACGCCGACGGACGCGACGCGCGACGCGCGACGTTCACGCGCGGTCGCTGCATGCGTTGGGGTGTCGCGCGCGGCATCGGAACGGGGAAGCGCGTCGCGATGTTCCGGATGCGGTCTCCGCGGGGGAGCGAAAAGGTGACGAAAGCAAAGGTGTGACGTGAACTAACAAAGCGCCGCCGCGCGAGACGAGCGCTTCGGCGGCGACGTTCGAACGACGACGCCATTGACTACAGCGGACAATGATGGTGTCAGAACGGGACGCCGAGGGCGCGGCACACCTTGGCCGGGGCGTTTGCAAAGTTCCGTCGCGTCACCGCGTTGAGCACGATGGTGTACACCATGTGCAAAATCAACGTGTAGCTGAGTGAGTTGACGAGTATGAGAACCATGGCTGTGGCCCAGACCCAGGTGATGTCCGGTGCGAACGTTGCTCCAACATTGGCGGCGAACTGATCCAGCAGGGCGTACATCTGCGTCACTAAGAGCTTCATCACGTTTTCTCGATACAGCAGCGACGAAACTGACAGCGAGCACACGATCCCAAACGTCCGTGTGAGCGCACTCGCGGGCACGGTGACCCACCAACTCGCCCCCGAGCTCCATAACGCGCTCAGGGCGTGCGCGAGCGTGCACGGCGCCAACCGCCTCGGCGCCAACTCGTTACTCGACATCGTCGTCTTCGGTCGCGCCAGCGTCGCCACGACGAGCGTCCTTCTCGCCGCCGCGCTCCCCCACCGCGCGCACGCGATGACGACTGGTAATGGAAACAACGCCCCAAAGTACGCGTCGAAGCGAAACAGGGACGATATGTGAAACGACAGACCCGTCATCGCCGCGAGCATCGCCGCCTCGACCAACACGCGCACCGGAAGCCCACTCGACGCGCTCGTCGTCGCCTCTCCCCCTCGACGCGCCTCCCCGTCGTCCATCGTCGACGCCATCGTCACCGCGTCTCCTCGAACGCCCCGCGTCGCGCGCGATGAAGTCGTCTCGAACGTCTTCGCGGTCGTTCGGCCACGCGCGACGCGCGTCGACACCGCACCGCGCCGACGCCTCGCCTCGCGCTCGACGCGACGTCCAGGGGTGGACGCGCGCGCGCCCGGCGTCGCGCGCGACATCCCTCGCGTCCGCGCCCGACGTCTCGCGAGCGACGCCGTGGGGGCGCGGTCGGGCGACGACCGTACACGCGGGTGTTCAATCAGGGTGTAGGCGTCGTCAACGCGACCTCTCCGCCGACGCGCCCGCGCGCTCGGCCTCTTCGCGACGCGTCGCTTGAACACAGATGAGGTGCGCGCGCGACGGACGACGCGATTGCGATTACGCGTGACGTCCCGATGACGTCGCCGTGCGCTCAGAGGCGTCGCGTACGGTGGTCGCGCGCGATGGATGATCGCGCACGAAGCCCTAGCGCGCGGTGGATGATGAATTGGACGCCGACGGGGGCGCGCGAGCGCGTTCACGAGACGACGACGCGCGAAAAATACGCCTCGACGCGTGTTCACTGACGATAAATCGCCCTCGCTTGGGTTTTTCACGATCGCAGCAAGCTCAACACCGATACCCTCAAGGAAGGCGTGAGCTTCATCTTGGAGAAGTCCAAGGAGAAGCCGCGCAAGTTCGTCGAGACGGTTGAACTCCAAATCGGCTTGAAGAACTATGATCCGCAAAAGGATAAGCGTTTCAACGGCACGGTTAACCTGCCGGTGATCCCGCGCCCG